ATTCTCATCTGACTTGGTTCGTGTTCTTGTTTCCTATTTATTACATAATCAAGTTAAAATACTCAAAGCTAATAAATTATACGCAAAAAGTTACGAAGTTGAAATACTCAAAGCATAACTAAAAATATTATAGTTTCGTTTTCGGGATCGCTTACTTCAGCTATCAATTTCGTCTGACGGTAAGTGAAAAGGCAATTATAAATTTATTTTTGAAGATTGGAAAACAAATCTTTAACGAGATTTAAAATGTTAATGAACAAAAGTTCAAGTTTTGACAATAATAATAATAATAAAATAAAATCTTAAATTTTTTATCGAAACTTTCGATTTTCATCCAGTACCTTAACAAATATTTAAATTTCATATGAAGATTTTTGGGTGATAAAGTGATTATCCACATTTTTTTCCAAAAAGAACATTTTTAAATTAAACAGATCCATATTATTGTTTTCATTGAGGTATTTTTCAAGTTTCTAGAATGTTCGCTAAATGGAATTGCAATAAACAGCCACATGCTATTGCCTACAATGAAAGTTGGATATTTTCAATAAAAATGCTAACTTCAAAAATTTGAAAAATTTTCCTTTCTGCTCCAAATTGTTCATACGTAATTAAAAATTTACGCTCATTTTGATATGAATTGCAAGTGATATATTGAATTTTACTATTGAACCTAAATAAATACCTTGATTGAGAAGAGATTGGAATATATAAAGAGAGATATCTTTAAAAGGAATTTGAGTTCTTGAGTTCGGCTTCATTGCATTTTGTAAAAGTGTCATAATGATAGAAACTGCCAGAATGGATAAGGCAATGCACAACCAAACCTACAATATAAATTTAAAAGTTTTAGATTGTGTAGGGGAAAGAGGACGAATTTAAGCTTTAAACAATTTTCCTGAAATTTCGAATTTGTATATTTTTTCTGAGTGGCTTAAGAACCTGAAATTTACAAAACTCTTCTTTCAAGCTTTATATGGCTGGTGAAAAAGCATTTTCGGCAATCGTGTAGTTCCTTGAGCTATGGAGTTCATATATACACTGAAGAGCCGAAAAAAGTGGTATATCTGCCTAATATCGTGTAGGGTACCCGCGAGTACGAAGAAGCGCCGCAACACGACGTGGCATGGATTCGATCAATGTGTGAAGTAGTGCTGGAGATAATTGACACCATGAATCCTGCAGGGTTGTCCATAAGTGGGAGTAAGAGGGGGCGGGGATATCTACTGAACATCACGTTACAAGGCATCCCAAATATATTCAATAATGTTCATGTCTGGGGATTTTGGTGGCCAGCGGCACTCTTCTGAATTTAGACACTTCCGCTGGCCACCAAAATCCCCAGACATGAACTTTATTGGACATATTTGGGATGCCTTCCAACGTGACGTTCAGAAGATATCCCCACCCCTCTTACTCCCACTGGTTTATGGAGAGCCCTGCAGGATTCATGGTGTCAATTATCTCCAGCACTACTTCACACATTGATCGAATCCATGCCACGTCGTGTTGCGGTGCTTCTGCGTACTCGCAGGTACCCTACACGATATTAGGCAGGTATACCAGTTTTTTTGGCTCTTCAGTGTATTACAGAAAAAAAAAGATTAATGACTTACGTTCAAGTCTCCGCTACTGACGAAAGACTTTGTAACCGTGTACTAGTGTCTAAAGAAGTGCCCTGAGCAATGAGCTGCAAAAATGTCATTAGAACGGACATGCAATCGTTTCAGTATTATAATGAAGCACCCTTTTTTTCGGTGATACATAGAACGAAAGAGATTGTAAATGGTTGGAGATACACACAATGAAACAAGAGAAGTTACAAACAAGTTACAAAAATGTAAAAAAAAAATGCCATTGATTTCTTTTTGAGCTAAGAGGCAATGAAAAAAAAAGAGTTGGGGAATAAAAATGATCTGATTCTTTAATATTCTTTCCAAACAAGAGAGTATACTAATAGTTGCTAAAAAAGAAAAAAAAAGAAAAAAACACCCACACAACAATAGGCTTGGAAAACAAGAGTGATTTGTTTTTCTTTCATGCCCTTCTATATCGATTCTGTTTTCTAATCCTACGCATCAATGGTTTTTCAGTTGTTAAATGTTGGGGCCGGGATAGCCTGGTTGGCAGATTGCCGGACTCACGTCCGTAAGAACTGGAGTTCGAATCTAGCCATCTGAAAACTCCCCGTGAAGTAAATGGTGACTAATGCACGTTAAATCTGTTGGGTCACAAAGCCCTCCATCTTCCTGTAACAAATTATACCTCTAGTGGTACTGAATTGAAGATTGATCGTTCTCTGGTTTAAGTCGAAATTTCCATCTGAAAATGAATGAATGGATGTATGAATGGTTCCACCCTATAAACGGGTGTGACGCATGGGTGTGGCATAAGTGGAATTCTTGGCCATAGATGGCGCCACTTTAAAACAAGATGAAAGCCGGTGCTTTTCTATTTTTTCGATTGCATGATTGCGTACAGAACATTATTTGCAACGCAAAGTTAGTCCTTCTTAGTTTAGATATTTTGAAGAGTTTCATAGTACTGATAAGGAAATAGCACTCATAAAGAACTAAAATAAATACTTTAAATCAAAGTGAACGGAAGCAATATCACCTGCACTTTATAGGGCCAGAAAATTACCCAAGTTTTCAGCTTTCTGGATGGCTTTTTCGTGACAAAAGTTATTCTGTCAAATGCATATGGCATGCTGAAGCGAACAGCTGTGGCTCTCCCGTAAGTGACAGTCATTCCAGAAAGTGCAACATCCACTTCCTTAAAGAATATGAGAAGAATATTTGTATACTTAAAAAAAGTAAAGCTATTAAAATTCATACATTATTTCCTGAATATATTATTTATCAACTGGTCTCAACTTTGTACAGGGATATATTAGGTAATGACAGCCCTTTATGCATATTATTTTATGTCTTTGTAAGCAATAAAATGAAATAAATAGGTGTTACCAATCAATATTCAAATGAAAGAAAATAACATGAACGTTTTCAAGCCCTGACGAAACAGAGTATGGATTAATCAGAGCATAATCATTGGAATACTCCCACCTTTTGATAAAAACTGCCTTTATCTTAAGAAAAAAAATTTTGGATTTTAATTATCCTCATTTTATTTAGATTATCCTGAATATTTATTGTATAGAGTTCGATTACAACAATTCAGCCAACTATTGAGCTGATTTTGATACTTTAAGCATGCAGTTGATTGTGGTAATGCTATTGACTTCGGTGCGGATTCGTCAGATACTGATATGCGTTATAACTCTCAGTTGGTAATTATATATTTGTAAGTTTTATAAACTATTGTAAGTCTTATAAAATCAAGTCTTGATGTGTGGTCGCGTCCTTGAATGTCGTTCGAGATCGAAAGGAAAAAAGAAGCAAAAAACTCTCAACTTCTATCAAAGATCCAGTTTTCCGCAGTGGATCTAACATACCTAGCCTTAAAGCATTTTCTGTGCTGACACATCATGTAAGACACATCTCGGACATCCGAAGATGTGTCTTAGTGTGACCTGAAGATCAAGGCTGCTTTTGCATAGATTCTTATATGTTCTATGGAATATTTCCGTTTCTTTATCACTGAGAACTTCTTTACCCAACTTAAAGAAGTTTGTAATTAATCTAACTAGTGTAGATGCTAAGTTTCTAGGCCAATCAAAGTCTGTGGTTAGTAACTCTTCTAAGGAGTCTACATTTGTCTACATAAATTAAATGGTGATAATGGAGCATCCTGATTAATACTGACTTGCAATTACTTTATTTAATGAATGCTTAAATAAACTATAATCTTGTAAATAATTTTTTAACATGAAAGGTTCTTATTTTAGATTACTTTATTTAGACAATAATAAGTTAACAAAATAAGTATGATTAATTGAATGACTTACATTTCTCATTAACATACCGATCATTCCATTCCAATTTGAACCATTGGGACTACCCCATGATCCGTCAATCGAACGAAAAATTTGATATCTGAAAATGGAACCATTTCAATTATTGATGCATTTGGACTATTAAAAGATTAGTGTGGTGTCGAATTAGATGGAAAGTAGTTATAATCTTTGTACCCATGATATTTTTAATCAGGAAAAATCAATCATGATTTACGGAAGGAGATAGAAATTTATGATTTATTACACACTGCTTAGGAAAGCTGATGTTTTCTTTTTCGTACGCTTCAGTTACAAAGTTCGTCTATAGATGACATTTCCACTTAAGGCAAATGATAGATCAATATTTTCAATTAAAAAAAAATTCAGAAACAATATGGCATAGTCAAAGGATAAAACAACCTATGTTTTTGCAAAGATTTAAGTTGGGCAGCTTAAAATGCAGGAGAAAAAGATTTTCTAGTTAGCAGCCTCATCTAGTTTGACTACAAAATATCAATGTTTTGACTGTAGCATACTACAAAATATAAGTTTTACATACGATTTATTTTATAACCGGTATTTATCAACCGTTTATAAAATAAAATTCTGAGTCACGGCAAACTAAATTCAACTCCAGAGCCTAGTTATTTTGAACCCAACCAAAAAAAAGAGAACTTCTTGATCAAGCTTTGAGACAAGTCTTCATGGAGGACTTTTTGATGAAACTAATCCGCATTTGCGTTTCATTGAGAAGAAATTCAAGAAAAACTCTTATGGTTAGCCCGATGGCGCGGGCATTAAACGCATGATTAATTGACACTGAGAATATTTTACGTCTGCACGGTGGTCGGTGCGAGCCGGAAGCAGAGTTTGTTTCAAACAGCCATTGCTAGGATTCAAACCTGGGTCACCTCATGGGGGATGAACGCTTTTTCCTCTGAGCCATTGCGGCTCTTTTTATAAGATTCGTGAAGTTAAGAAAAAAAAGCAGATACTTCGTAGTAATTGTCGTAATTTTTTTTCTTTTATCAGTTTAATGGGTGTAGTAAAATCATTCTCACAAACATGTTACTGAAGAAAATAGGCAAAAGTAATGGCTAATGTCTTACGTAAATTTCAAGGAAGCTGCCAGACTATCAAGCAGTTCAATATCCGATCCAGTTGGTTTCTGCAAAGCGCTTGGAAGTCTGAAGAAAGGAAAATGCTTTTCCATTGCTACTCGTAGTGGTCTTGCAGGTTGAATTGCGCGTTCAAGGAACGAAGAATTGTTTGAAAAACCAGTCTCATTGTTCCATGAATTTGTAGTAATGAGAGTTAGACTAGGAACTTCCAAGGACTAAAAAGAAAGAATATAATCACAGGCATGTTCCCATGTTTGATGGGGAAAATAGCACATGAACTCAATGTAGAAATAATTAAGGAAAGGCTGCAAATCATTTTAAAAGTTTTGGTTTTGGTCCAACATGGATAGAAGGAGTAGGAAGAGGAAGTATAAAAAATATTTCTTGTTCCAATGAGCTGCACAATTGGTCTTGCCGATGAGCAGACCTAGTGCGTTCTCCAGAGGTGGTATCCACTCTTTCAGGACCACCACAATGGGTGAGATATCGTTGGTCATGTTAATTTGGACGTCTAGTTTCTGCCACACTAGATGGCAGCACCGAGACTCTACTTGGATGCTAAAGTGCACTAGGAATTTAATTTTGCCCGAAATGCTAAGAGCCAATAAGGCACTCCAGGGATCTTTTACATGCCGCATAATCATACGACATGGCCATAGAGGATTTTCTGCATCCCGAAAATCCGGTGTCTGGGCCGGGGATCGAACCCGCAGACTTGGGCTCAGAAAGTCGACGACAAACCAACTGCGCCTCCCAGCCACTAAAAAAAGTATTTAAACTACTTTTTCTAAAATTTTACTCGTGCTTTTAAGAGCACATTTTGCACTCTATTATGTTGTATTTTCCCAGAGATTATAGCACACATTAAATATGTTTTAGAAATTGCATGTGCAATTCTGCCGCTAAATAAAATTGCGTATTTCAGTTCTTACCTTCAGAATATAAGTGTTTTTTGGAGCTGGAAAAACAAACATTATGTGATTGTTGATGTAAAACTGACTGAATTCATTGAAAGAAATATTCTCCGAATATTGGCGTGGAACTAAAATGACCCATTGTATTCTATGACTTTTCTCAACTAGCTTTAAAGAGCTCTGAAATAAAGAAATGAAGTTAATGGTAGCTATTTCATATGAACATAAATTCATTTAAATACTTTTCTTGTTTTTGAAAGTGTCGATTTGTTTATAATGAGCTATATTATTCATATGCTTATCTAGAGTCTTTTGGTAAATTAACATGCATCTAAGGGCATAATAAAGTACAATATTGTCCATTGGCTGTCTGTAATTTTCTAAAAAAGTGGTACGTATTGACCTGCAGTCAGGTTGGCTTAAGCCTCCACCAAGGACTGATCTCCAATACAATCCCTGATGTTGGGGTTGAATGACAATGTCAGCATACTGCACAATGACAAGTTAGTGCCTTTAACTACTTTAACTACTGTTCAATCACAAATCTAAAAGGATATTTATAAACTAATACAAATAAGTCCTAATCATACTAAAAGTATGAAATGACCATACTACATTCCGGTAATACATGCATTCAAAGCTTATCATCTCGCTCATGGACTGCAATAGTGGCACAACTAAAAAAACACAAGTTTTGGACTAAGATCAGGTATAAATATGAAAATACGCATTCTTTCAGCAGCAATACTAGCACAACTCATAATTCAACTTGAAGGTTATCTTCGTTTAAGCAAACTAAAGAATTTCTTATGCATTTTGTTTAGCAATAAAAACTTATCTCAAAACTTTGAGTTGTGCCGCTATTGCAGCCCATGAGCGATTTGTTAATGAAGTATACCAAAAGAAACGCTCTTATTATGAACTGTTCAGTGATATTGATTTATTGATTGATTATTTATCAATATTGATTTATATTGATCAGAATTTAACATACCTCATTGGATGGAAGCATAACTACAGGAACTTTATCATGATGACGTAGTAACTCTTGAAGTTTGTGCTCAAATTTTGAGGTGAAACATACTAAGGAAATATTTCTACGAAACAGTGCTTCTGCTAACAAGGGGTCCACTTCTGTTTTAGTAATAAAAATAAGAAATGTAAGAGAGAGTTTTAACATTAAAGATTCAATTTAGGGTCAAATGTATTATTACAACATTATAATTTAGATAATGAAAGATATTTAAAATACGGAAAATTTTATATTTTCCTCGGAAACGGGTGGCACAACAATAGCAGATAACAGTGGCCCCCATACCCCCCAAGCTCTTGGGCGCATTCATCCCCCCCAAAAAAAATTGCTAACTTCCCCCTTCCATGTTAGTTTGTTCGAAATAGTGCTACTTTGCTTGCATTCTACTCATAATATGACAATGCTTCTTTAATTTAAGGACTTAAAAAAATTTCTCTCATCTAAATCCCCCCCCAAACTATTCATTTTATTTAGTGCAAAAATCCCCCCCCGCGAAGCTTAAAGTGGGAGCATCGTGCGCCCACCTTCCCCCCTGATGGGGACCCCTGGCAGATAAACGAATTCAAACTATTATCCCCAAAATGTGTATTGTAAGATTTCTTATAGAGTATAAACAAATCTCGTTATAAATAATAATTAGTGGTTTCTATAACATTTAGTCGATGCAATAAAATATTATCATACATTATCATTGTTACAAATGTGAAAGAAAAAAATGTCTAAGTAGTGTCATGCAGAATTTCACGCAGACGGAATATCGATAGACAAAATGTCCTGCGGACAAAATTTATCAAGGACAGAACATCACTGGGACGAATTATCATTGGACAGTTTCAGACAAAATACTGGTATCGTGAAAAGGATTCTATTTACCTAAATTACTAGTAGAATTCATGAATCGTTTACACAAGATTTTGTCGAAGATCATATCTCGGGCAATCTACCCACGGATAATCAGTACTCTATTGCATATGGATTTATTTTTTCATAATTTAAAAATTATTAAAGAAATAAATTAATTTCCTTCACAATTTTTGGTGTCAGACATTAAATTATCATAGGAAAAATTTCTGAGTATATTTGAATGCAATTTTTGAAAATAATTGTTAAAAACTGCAGTAATTTAGATAAATTAAAGGAACACTTCGAAGACGTCCAATCAGGAAGCTCTCAACAGCGAATTGGCTCGAGTGGCGCACTAAGACATTTCAGGCGATGGGTTGCTATGGTATTCTGGATTCTTATGATGAGCCGAACTTTTTCTTGACGCTTATACGCACTGTACTAAACTCTTTTGTATTCTCGATGATCCGTAAAAACCACCCTTAATTTCAGAATTATCAAAAATTAAAATAAAGTACACGATGTCACGAATTAATATTTCGTAGATACGAAAACCAAATTACTATCGAACTGCCAAGTTACAGTAAAGGAAGGTCCACGTAGTAAACATCAAAACAAGTTTAATTGGAGGTTGAAAATTTAAGGTGTTTTTTGTTTTTCGTCTCCTTTCTGTTTCCTCACATTATCAAACCAGTCTTGTTGTTTATTATATCTGCCTTTCTGTACAATTAGTCAGACTATGACGATATTTTTGTTTTTTCCTCGCGGTTAAGTATGAATTTGTGATCCCTATGTATATCATTTTTATAATGATTTTTGAAGATATATATTAAAGGTGGTCTTTACTGAACATTATAATCTATATTAGTAATTATTTTAGAACAATTTTTTATTATATTATTAATTAGTATATACTTTGTATGTATTATGAACAGTACATTGTACTTATATATACAAAACAAAAATAGTTTTTTTTCTATTACATTGTATTAAACGAGTACTTACATAAATTTTGATAAATGTGTGTCTTGTTCAGCGTATCTTCATCACTACTGCAAATGATTTTGATTTAAACAAATCAAAACAGCTCATTTGAATATATTATTATTATAAACGGTCTATTTTCATATGCAATAGGTTGACGTAAAGTATATTGCATATATTGCATAACAATTTAACCTCGAAAATTTGATAAACATATTGGCGGGATATTTAGAAACACAAGATATATTACATACCTATAAATCTCTTTTCTATGATAACAATCCATTGCCAATGCATAAGGTTTGTGACTAACTCAGCGATGAAATGATATAACAGGGGTTTTTGAAACATCACTCTGTGAACACAGTTAAATTATAACTAAATGCCTTATTTACTGTTAAAAAGTTGCCAAAATGCATTAAAACTATAATCTTAGTGAAAAACAAATTACACAATAAAAACATCTGTTTAAATATAAAAGTTTTCTATGAGTTCCCTGCAGAAAATTTCCATTCTTAAAACTGCAGAAATTTGCTGTAAAATACATATCACGCTGCCAAAAAACACATTTTTTCGGTAGATGATACAAAACTGGCAATTATTGATGTAATATAAATTTTATATGTTCGCTAGAGATTCTATCTGCTTCGAATACGGAAAATGCTAATATCAAAACAACAATGACAGTTTTATACTGTTCTCTTTTCTAGCCAAAGAGAGATCTCCAGGTTTCAAGTGAAGATACAATTCGTGTTCGCAATTAAGTTTGTATAGTTTTATTTTACTGTGTTTGCTTCATGCAAAAGAAGTGAAGTGTAGGTGTACACTGTACAAACCTTTCCTTTGGTAGTTAGACCATTCGTATACTGACCCAAAGGTTCCTAGTTTAATTCCAGCTGACGTTCACTTCCACAACTGTTCCCAATGATGTCATTAAACAGCAACTATCTTAGTCCTCGAGAGATGGCAGCAGTTACAGTGTAATTGGAAAACTAAGTTTGATTAATACAAATATAATAGTTTGATAAATACATAACACTTTTCTACGCTTTTTGAGATTTTTTTTTAGTGTTCTGAGTTTATGTTTTAAAGCATGATTCTTTGTTTTGTAATTTTGGTTTAAAGTTCTTTTTTGTACCACTACATGTAAATGATTTGAAAGTTTAAGTGAAGCACTATTTTTTCCCACTCTCTCATGTTAAAGCTTTTGAAATGTTATCAAAATTATCAAAAGTTTTTGAAAGCTTCAATTTTTAGTTGTCTACCACTCTATAAGATATTTTGCAAAAAGCGTAGCAATTGGCAGTTCTGTAAATGTAGCAGATTTTATTGAGAATTTTATGGAATATCAGAAAGTTGCTATCGAAACGATGTTACTTTTAATACTTTCTTTCATTTCCTTAACTATATTTGTTAATTTGGAAATCATTTTACTCAAATATAAAACCTGATCATCCATTGCAGCTACAACTTAATGTATTAATAACAAAAAATATTTAAAATATAAGGTGCAAAACTTTTCAGAAATTGTTCAGAAATGTAAAAAACACAAATTTGAAAGAAATCGGTTGAATACTTTCTAAGAAATAAAAAAAAAAATGTCCTACGTGCTCCGTTTGAAAAAAATGTTTTTTTTTTTCTGATGTCAAAATGTTTCCATAATTTAGCGATTAATTAAATGTTAATACTCTTATTTTCTTATGGTACTCAAATTTTATTAAACTATATGTGATGTTAAATACTTGCTGTTTTATTATAGCTAATAATTATATCAAAAAATTATTTGAAATTATTAGTTACTTCAGAAAATACAATTAAAGGTTATTTATTTGCACAATTAAGTTTTTTTTTTAATTTATAAAACTTAGAAAATAATGCAATTAATTAATGATTAAAACAATAAAGTTTAAATCGATTTATAAGTACAGAGATGAGAAAAAATATGTGAGAATCACAGCAAAATTAAACAGCTAATTAAATTTATATATGGGTCATTCTCACGAAAACTGTCATTTTTCAGTTCATAAAATCCCAAAAAAGTANTGACCCATATGTATTGTATTGGCCACTAAGCTCCACAATTAAAAGTTTTAAATAAATTTTAAAAGTTTAAGCTCTGCAAGTATTTTATTTTCTCTGGCAGCTCTTGTCATTCAAAGCGAATTTTTGAGCAAAAGTTGGTTTAATCTTCATTGAAGTTGACTGAGCGTCCAAAACGAGGGTCGTTTTCAATGATATTTCCCTCTTCAAATTTGGTATGCCAAATACAAACGGTTCTCATAGCAATTCAATTATACACAGTTCGAATGTCACGAGCAGATTTTGTGGTCTTAGAGCCTTGATTAAAAGTGATAATAGAGGTGCTGAAAATGCTCTTTTTTTAATTTGGCAAATTAACATAAATTAATTCAAACTAACAAAATGAATCAAAATGAAATAAAAAAAAATAAATAGAAATAAAACAAAGGAAAATAAAATAAAATAAATAAAATAAAACAAAAGAAAAGAGAATAAATCAAAATTAAATAAATAAAAAATGATGGACATAGATTTTGCTAGAACAGGAATCCTATTTCGAATGATCTGAAACATAATGCCAAAATTTTTTAATGTCACTCGGAATGTTAAGATTTAAAAATCGGTGGAAACTTAGTTGTCGATCCAATGCAAGTTAAAAATGTTCTAAGTGGTTTTTAACTCTAAAAGTAATGATATGCAAAATAACAAAATTTACCTGTCTTATCTAGTTACCATACTTGTAGAAGCTTTCAGAACTCTGCTAAGAACTTGTTATCAGTGCCATTTAAAGCTTGATCTGGTGCGAATTCAGCTTAAATAGCCCTTGATTGTAAACATATGTCTTCAAAAGCTTTTGATAAGTAAAGAAGTTTTTGAATGGACTATTCAGTATTAAAAAGACTTTCGATTTAATGATTTTCGGACTTGTCTTTGAAATAGCGCTTTAGTCGTGGAATCGAATAAAAGACTGGCACTCTTTAAGCAGACAGATGGATATTTTCTCATGTGAGATTCTCCTTTATTTCGATACTTGTTAATTTACTGTCAATTATTTAATCATTGCAATTATTTAATAATACAATGCAATTATTTAATAATACTGACAGTAAAAAGGAAATAATGAAATTGATTACAGATAGTATCATGTCTTTAATTGAATGAAAATAAAAGAATATAACTGTATATATATGAAAAAAAAACTAATGATGGTGTCGTAGTTTTCTATTGCAGTTGGTGCATATTTATTCGCTGGAAAATCACGTGATAGGATCCAGTTTTCCCGCATTAATTTCCACACATTTTTGGTTGTCATCAGTATAAAATTAATAAAAATCACAAAGGTAGTGTTTATATGGAAAATATTTTCGTATTTAGCTGCAATATTTATTTTTCTCTTGTTCTACTTTTCTATTATTAAGTTTTTAATTTTGATTGTTAAGGGTTTAAAACTAAAAGAGTTGCTTCTTTCTTATAAAGAAATTTTATGACATTACCTTATTACGATAAAGTTTGAGATAAACTTATTTATTATTTAAATCGGTGTCTAAACTTATTAAATACTTTATAATGGGATGCATGCAAGTGATATGGTGTCGGTATTTCGATCCTGATTTGTTGTTGAAACGTGGCATTTGTTTAAGTTAGCAATTTTTATTTCCGTTCCATTTCGAGTAAGCCAAGTCCATCAAGCATTAATTCTGATAGCAGACACATTCTATATTCTTTTACAAAGATTACAATTCTCCCACTATATGTTTCTTACTTTATAGACAGGCACGAAGCCATTCAAAACATAAACAAACTATTTATGCATAGAAGTTGTCAGGTGCACGAAACAAAAATATATCACGGTCTGAATAAAATACATAAAAAATAATAAATCTAAGTTAAGTAAAAGACGTAGAGGAGAAGGAATTACATTTCAGCAAATTTGATGTGCGATACGGCGCTGTACATAATTAATTTCACGTTAAGTAACATTCAAACTTATGCGGAATAACTTAGATCAACTTTAACACGCCATTTTGCTTACAAACTATCAGCTGGCGCTGGCGTCATAGGTCACATGTGTGGGTATTCGCGATCTTCTTCTTCTCTAAGTGCATGCACTCAATTATTATTTTGTGAGGCGAATTACATTATGCTATTATAAAATAAAGATAAAAAGGATTCTTTGAATGTTTAACCATCAGCTTCAGGTGCAATGTGATGCATGCATACATTGTATTTATTATATTAGCCTATTTGTTAAGTAAACATTTCAATTAACGGTTTTGAATGCATCAAATTCAATGTAACAATATGCCTTTAATTTTAAATTGTATTTTTAAAATTGAATACTAAGCAAAACTACTTATATTTATTAATAAATCTTAATAGAATCATAAGGAAATGTTTGAACATGGGAAGTAGGGACACAAGCGTAAGTGGGACAGAATTTTAAGTGAATAATTTCAACTTTCGTAGAAAAAACTAAGTTATTTCAAAAAACAACAATGATGGTGTTGATGAGCGTCAAAGAACAGGGGGCTTACACCCAGTAGATGAATTAAAGTTAAAAGAATAAAGGAATCAACCAATTTAAGCTTGGCGTTCTAAAAATGTACCCTAAACTCACAGCGATAATATAATATTTTCCCCCATTTTTATTTAAGTTTACAGCTTCTGTTTTTTTCAATCCCAAATATTCGTATATTTTTACAATTATTTTAACATCTTTAAGTTGTTTATACATTATTACGTACTTCTATGCATTGTAATAAGTTTAGAAGATTTATTTAATGCAGGTTTTCAAGAAAAATTAACATCATTTACACGCATTTATAACTAACATCACTTGTTAAATTAAATGAATAAACAAAGAGAATATCTAATTTCAATTTTTAAATTCTTATAGTCCTTGTAGAAAATATATTTTCCAAGCATTATTACTCTAGACTGAATCGTACGGAATTTTCAACTATCATGCTTTTAATATTCGACAATAATGTTAGCAAAACTAGTAGCTATTTTCATTTGCCCTACGAGTTGAAAAATTAATTCAAGGAAAATGGAAAGAGGCAAAAATATATGGTTTATTGCTTTCTTCTTAGATAACCACATTTTAATTCGCACTAAGTTTCAACATAAGTTACAAAACTTGTCAAAAGATAACGCTACTGACTGTAAAAACTATGAAACTGTAGTTTAGAATCATTTCACAGGATTTGAATTGAAATATTTTCACGGGTGTCAGTGTCTGTAAATTTGCTTTTCAGAGTGTAGTTTCTCCTTAGATATTTTGAAAACATTGTCTTATAATTTCACTTAGTCCGTAGCGTCATCTGTTGAGAAACTTTGAAACTAATATTAGAAACTGTTGAATATGACTTATTTTTTTTAACCAGCATAACTTAAGAGAAAAAAAAATATATTCTTCTTTATGTTTTTGCAATCTATTTTTCAACTCACCGATCATTTTTTGGTCAGCCGATGGTTGAATTATTCCGTCTTCCATTTTGCTTTAAGTGAGACATTCCCTCAATATCCCGTTTTAAGCCAAGAGTTCATAGAGATTAAGGCTGTATTGTTTCGTGACCAGCGTAATGATTGGGGGGTCTATGTGCTTAGTACTGCGCAGAAGCCGCCTTTACTTTACAAAAAATCTGGTAGCCATTTATTTGAAGCTGGGTAAGCTTCAAGCCACCATCTTGCTTCATGTTGATGAATATTTTATTTTCCTAATATCACTATGTTATGTGTGTTTGTAATATTATGAGTGGGAAATATTTTTCACTTTTTAAAATTAAAGTACTGTAAGCTTGAAATCAAACATAAAATACATATCAACACTTTCACAATATCTTTATTTCTATTATATATATATATATACAAATGCAGTGCAACGCGGACGATATAGGAATGTAGAAAGTGCATAGGAAAAACTGGTTGCCAACAACACAATTTTTTTTTTCAAAAACTTTCTATAAAATTTTCTTTCTTTCATTTTTAAATATAAGCTCCACCTCCACTGTGAGAGACATATAAAAAGAGGGGTGCATACTTTATATGATTATGATGAAAATACATTTTTATTCTTAAAATTTATTTGGTTCGCTAACTGTACGAAAGACACATACACTTTATAAAATGTAATAAACACTCAATCTGTCTAGGTTAGAGCATTCAAAAAGTGGCAAACACGTGAATTATCTTTTCAAACTATAATTAAACAGTCAGAAAAATTAATTCTTCGCGCAGTATTTTAAAACATAATATGTATTGTGAAAATTTGCCGCAACCGTAACAAAGTGTTAAACAGAACCTTGTTTTTATGCAAGCTGAACCATAGTATCGTATAATGAGGTTTAAAATGGTTAGGTTTGCACAGTCCCCCCCCCCAAAAAAAAAACGGACCACCCTGAATAACTTTTGATCTAATGATCAGATCTTCTGACTCAATCTGAATGGTTTGAGAGGGTGACCTCAAATATGCTAATTAATTGGCGCAGACGATATTTTAAGTCACAAAATTATACACAAAAACCTACCTTCTCTGAATACATATACCTTTTTTTTCGACGGATGCGGATTTTTGACCCCCAAAATAAAGGGGGTAGCCGCAAGTTGGGAAACATTGTCCCCATAGTTTGGTCAGAAGAGTGATCCAAAGTTAGGATCCTTTAATGTTAATTTTCCTTTTTGCGTATTTCGCCATATCTCATAAACGTTCAAAGCGAATTGAAAAATTTTTGCACACAAATATAAAATTCGTTTGTCCAAAGATAATTCAATACAAGAAAAGGAATTTTTATAAATATTTATTGCTTTTTATTACTTTTTATAGTAGTCGAAAAATTTTGAGTCATAAGGTATACAGTTTACATAATTTTAAAGAATGTAATTTTACATGACAAAATACAAAATTTGTTCGAAATTGGTTGAATAGTTCCTGAGAAATCGCATTCAACCGATTTCGCTCAAATTATGCATTTTACCATACAATATCAAATACTTTAAAATGATGTAAAAAATTGTATAAATTACTATTCAAGCTTTTTTTGCTGTTATTTAATAAAATAATCTAAAATAATAAATATTTACTGAAATTTATTTTTTGCATGGAATTATCTTTGGATAAACGAATTTTATAATTGAGCGCAAAATTTTTTCAATTTGCTTAAAAAGTTCTCGAGATATGGCGAAATACGCAAAAAGTAAAATTAACATTAAGGGGTCCAAATTTTGGACAGCTCTCCTGATCAAACTATGGGGACCATATTTTCCAGATTACGACTGTCCCCTATATTTTAAGGGTCGGAAATCCGGATCTGCCGGAAAAAGGGTGTGTTTATTCAGAGAAAGTACGTTTTTGTGTCTGGTTTTGTAGCTCAAAATATCGTCTGCACTAATTAATTAGCATATTTTTGGTCACCCTTCTGGAACTATTAAGAGTGAGTCCGAGAACATGAAGATCCGATCATTAGATCAAAAGTCATTCAGGGTGGTCTGTTTTTTTGACCTACTGTACAATATGGTTTAGCTTTTCATCACATTAAAGTCAAAGCAAATTCGCGATATTATGGTTAATGTCGAACTAATTTTTCTGAGAATGTTACTTAAGTCTGGTGGAGAATCACGATTTTTATCCTGCAGGAGGCGAGTTTCTATCCTGCTTACTTGGTCAAAATATTGTTGGCTTTGTCTTAAAATAAACCCATAAAAAGTTTTGTAAGTTGGAAAAAACATAAGAATGAAATCAACCATTTTTTAAGGATATATCTTTAGAAATTTAGAAGCGTGTTGAACCATTCAAAGTAAAGCATCCACGCAACAATTCATTGCAATGGTGGTTAAGGTCAGTTTGGGCTAAAAGGTTTAGACTTTACAATTTCGTGACCAACCGCATTACTGTGACAAGATGACTAGTATTGCCCATAACGACTTCTTTACTTTCTAGATCTTTGATGCAGATGGAGCATCGCTGTCCCTTTTATATATTTTTTTCCAGTGCTCTAATTACAAGTGAAATATAATTTTTATAAAAATCAGTCTAACAGTTACTTAAAAATCTGTTAGAATATCAGAATTATATCTGTACTAAACTATGAAATCTAAAAAAAGTATTTTGAAATTTTTTTATTCATATTTAAAAATTAACCAATAACTTATTTTGTAAATTAAATAAATTTCAATGATGTATAATTGTTTCTTTTAGATAACTGCAAGTGAGTGCAAATTTGAAAAATTATTGATTGGAAGTGAGCAGTGCTTTGAAGATTTTACTTTTAATGAAGAACAAGACATTGGTGTTTCACGCTGTATTTTATATTATTAAAATGCTAGATATAGTTTTTTAAAAATTATTTTGGGATAAATTAATACAAAGTAATGAAAAAGTATGTAAAATATATTTAATAAAAATTCAGCGTCAAAGGACTGGACAAGCTGCTTCTCATCAATCTGAAGCTTCAAGATGCTGAAGGTTTGAAGCCCAGTCTATCACAATGATCTGTCAGTGACTTTTACCACCGAGCTATTGCCGCTCACTCGAAAAGACATATTTATATATATGGATTGAAACAATAGTTGACTAGTTACTCGAGTTTACGTACTGATTGATCACACGTTTATTCTATGTGTTGAACCGTCCAAACTTGTGGTAACCTTTATATGTTGGTAAGGTGAACCATATAATCGCATTTCTTAAACTTGATTACACGATATTATGATTTAACCAGAGCGAATGTATGGTTCAATTTAACTTTTCATTAAGGTTGTAGCAAATGTGCACCGCATTTTGGTTCAAAGTTCAGATATAATGGTCCAAAGTTGAACAGAATTTTTGAGAGTCTAATCATTCCTCTTCAAAACCAACCATGTAAATATGCTTATCTTTTTTTTTCTTAAACGTTAAGTACCTTTTGAAATTCGCACTTCATGGGTTTTCCACTGCCTTCGCCAGTTTTTACGTTTTGAATGCTCTAATAATTCTTTTAACATATAATATGACCTTTGTTTAAGTTTTAACTAGTACAACTAATGCAAACAACACTTTGAAGGTTTTGCCACTATTGTGTGGAACATATATCTTATTAAGTGAATTATTAACAGCATCAAAAATACTTTTTTTTTCTTACAAACTTTCATAAACTTCTCATATATTTTTCAGTAATACTTTGTATACTCTTAAAATGTATCAAAATAGTCAAGAATACTTTTAAGTCTGTCACATATGGAGCACATGGAAAATCACCCAAGACATTAACAATCACATTTTGACATTGATCTACGACATCAGTTCAACCAAGTATCACAGAAAAAGTTTTGTAAAAATTCCTAAAAGTTCCTGACGAACAACAATAGATTGCTATTTCTTCCTACAATTTTCGAATGTTGTTTAGGATAATTACGTTCTCTCACTGACTCTGGACAGTATCTGTTGAACTTTTGCTATTCCACTTTCAATGGAAGCTCGACCGACGAATGAGTCACTGCTCTCTGAACTGCCGTGGGTTGTAGTAGCTACTGATGCTCGTCTTGGCAATCTTACACGAGCAAATGGAGATGGTTTCATAGTATGGGTCAAAGGGCAGACATCTATTATGACGTCATTGGACCACATTTGCTAGAAAAATATTAAAGGTAAATAAATGTCAAATGAGTTTTGTAAGCATATTGATATTCGTATACACTCAAAGAACTTAGAAAATCTTTTTTAGGTAAAACAGATTATTACTGTGTAATTCTAGCACTATACACTCATTCTTCATTTTTTAAATTACTTTAAACGGAGTTCTTTTAGATCCAAGAAAAACAGAAAACTCGGCTTTTAGGAAGCACCGCTCACATTAAAATCAAATATTTTCAGCCGTTGATATGAAAGTTATTGTTGCTAGTAAATTCTTCTTGAAACTAAATACGTAAGTTTTGATCTACGCCAGACATCAAGAACCTATAGCACGCGTGACACTGCATGGCACGTTACATGAATTTCGGTGGCACGCAAGAAGTTCATATTAAGTGACTTTTATTCAAATGTATTCATTAAGAAAGATATTAAAAAACCCCATCTATAACGTCTTTGATCAAATTTGGATTCAGAAACTAGTATAATTTCTGGGGCCATTATGACTTTTACCAGGACGTAAGAGTAACTAGTGCCAATAGTAGTGCCAATAGTGTACCCTCGACTATGGAAGTCCATGTCGTGAGAGAGACTGGCTCTTCGATGGAGAGAGTGCAATGAGTGGTATAAAAGAACTTAAACTAATGATAAAGAAATATGAAAAAAAAATTGCAATATAGGATATTTGCACAATGTTACAAGCATGTGTTTTCATCAATGATTAAAATAATCGATTGCAAGAAACCACTTTGTTACAGATTTAAAGCAAGTTACTAACGAAATAGCAAATTTAGTTACACTATGTAATTTAATAGTTGAAATCAAAGCAATTGCTTACAGATAAGGTTTTAGAAAAAAAATATATAAAAAAAACCCTGAATTCCAAAAAATAACAAAATTATTTAATTAGATTACTAATCACAAGCGAACAATAATAAATTAAGTTCAGTTTCCTAAGAAGTAAAAATAATGTTTCGTTGCAGCAAGGCATCGAGATTTTTAAAGTCAGCAATTGCATTAAATATAACATGAACTACGCTTGAAAAATTTAAAAATGTAGACTTTCAGTGCTTTATGTAGTTGCTTTACGATGATTTCTCAAGTAATAAATATCCTTACACACAGAAAAGAATATTTTTCTATTACTTCTATTTCTAAATGCTTAAACTTTTTAAACTAAAGTTATGCTAATTTTAAGCACACTAACAATTTGAGTATTTAATCTGAAGTTTTTTTAAACTTTCTGATTGAAATGATCAAAATGAAGTAATGATTTGGTTAATGACAGTTTTTTATCTATAAATTGCCGTTACAAGAAGACAATCATTTTAAGACTATTAAGAAATAACTAATAAAAAAACAAACGTTTTTCTTACGTCTTCCGAACTTTTATCTCGTGTCCATTTGAGAACAGCTTCATCGTCATTGTAATGACCAGCACAACTTACAATAATAGTTTCATCTTGCAAATTGGTCCCTTCGGGATTTATTACCCTAAAACAAGATATAAATGTTGAAAATAATACATGGGATTTAAGATTTTGAGCACACCAGTAGGCTATTATGTAAAAACAATTTGAATAAGAAGCGTGAATAAGAAACGAAATAATATAATAAATAGAGAAGAATTGAAATAATTTATAACATAACATTATCGAACCAATTCTAATATTTTTAATGACTAAGATGCAACATTTCTGTCACACGAAATCTTCTAAATTAAGTCAATGAAAGTGAAGTGATTTCCTTGATAAGTGATTATTTGCGTTTTCGATTCACACATCATACAAATTTAACTCAGATAACCAAAACTTACCAAGTTTCCTCGAATTTTATAAGCCTAGACAATTTTATAGAAAATTATTGTTAAAAATTTAGTAAATTATATTTTTATATTAATAAAATAATATTTGAATTAATTTAATGTATTGAGTAAAAAGCCATTGCGTTTTTCTTTCTTTTTTTGCAACAGATGGCAGTCGTGCAGTTCCTGAAAATCTTAGAACATTTGTAACAGTATTTTTTACTTCATTGATATCTGACAGTTTAAGCTTTATTGTAAAAAATAATTTGGGGTCTTTCGTTGAGTTTTGGAGTTTTGACAGCTTGTTGAATATGGAAGATCAAAGTGTTCATTTTCGCTTTATTTTACAATTTTATTTCCGTAAAATTCGCGTCAGAAGAAAAAAGCGAAAAACGCGTGTTAAGTTTGTGAAAAATTGCGTAAAGTTTACGGTGACGATATTCTACAAGAACGCCAATGCCAAAACTGGTTCAATAAATTCCGAGCTGGCAATTTCGATTTGAAGGATGCTTTTCGATCAGGAACGCTTATCCGAATTGATGATGACAAAATGAGGACATTGATTCAGTTAAACCCAGGTTACACGACACCAGAGATTTCAGGGACATTGAAGATAAGTCAAAAAAGTGTTCACGTCCATCTAAAGAAACTGGGACACGTAAGAAAGCTCGAAATTTGGGTTCCTCATGAACTTAAAGAAGTTCATTTGACTGCATGAACAAAATATGCAACATGAAAGAAAGACCAATTTTTGGAAACGAATGATAACTAGGGATGAGAAGTGGATTGTTTACAACAATGTGATGCGCAAACGGTTTTGGTCAAGAGGGGAAAATTCGTTATCAGTGACTTCAAAACCAGAACTTCATCAGAGTAAAGTTAGGCTTTCGGGTCTGGTGGAATAGGAAGGGTCTCGTGTTTTTTGATCTCCAATTAAGGAATGGAACAATCAATTTCGATGTGTACTGTAAGAAATTGGACAGTTTGAACGAATATGTCATTCAGAAACGTCCTGAACTCATCAATCGTACGTGAGTAGTGTTTCATCATGACAACGCGAGACCACACATATCTTTGGCAACCCAAAAGTTATTGGAGTTGGGATGGGATGTGTTGTCCTACCCCCATACTCTCCTGACCTTAGTAGTAGCGCCAAACCTCCACTTGTTTCACTATTTTTAAAATTTCTTGCGTGGAATAACGGGAAATTCAGATGAGGCTGTAAATCAGCTCCATGATCAGTTTTTCGCAAATAAAGACAGGTTCAACTTCGAACGAGGAATTATGAAACTCACCGAACTATGGCTAAGGATCATAGAACAAAAAGAAACATGTATCATTGATCAACCTTTAACGTTCATATAACCTTCAAGACAAAACGAAATGACTTTTTACTCAAACCAATAGTTGGTATATAATGTTAAGTATGTTCTTATGTAATGTAGGTATGTTATGTAAAGCGGGGCAATTAGTCTATAGAAGGCAAAAAACTAAGCTGTTTAAGTAAAACGGTAAAAAAAAGTTGATTAGAAGAAATCTTTACACGATTTCTTCCATTAAAATGTTATTTATACCCACAACTTCTTTCAATTTCATATAATTAAATGCTTATGTATCGTTACTTATTTAAGAACTTATACTTTAATACTTGGTTGAAAACTAAATTATGTTACAAAAATCGTATTAGCTCTTTATTAACTTTTGAATATTTGGGTCTGTTTATCATAGAATAATTTATTCTAAAATAGACATTTTGAATTATTAAAAATCTTTATGTTTAAAAATATTGTTGGATTCCTCGAGAACAAAAATAAAGTTTATTTAGCACAAAAATGTATTTTAATTTCAGTTTTATTGGAATGAATGGGTTCTAATTTAAAATGCGCAGTAATAATGATTTATAATAAGTTAAAACCCACAGTAAGGCATTTATAATTTTGGCGTAAAATTGAATCCTCATAACAGGAATCTTATTTCATCATGCATTAAAATTTAGAATTCTTCAGAAATTAATACAATGGAGTTGAAAGATTAAACGAAAGCTTAATTTAATCCTCAGTTAGAAACTGCGATGTGAATCTGACTATTTTAATCGATTTTCCAATAGTTTCTCCTCTAACTTAGTTTTAGGGCATTAGTTAGGAGCTGGAAAATCATCGCATAAGGAAGTGAGTATCTTAATTTGTCACGTGGTGAAGAAAATATCCATTTTAAAATGAATCAATATTCATGACANGCTTCAAAAATCTTTTATATTTCTATAAGTTGGCAACACTTGAGGCATACATAATTGCATTGGATCATTGTTGCCTTAATTTTGTAGTAGATGTAGTAGTAGAATTTTAGTAGTACTTATAATAATAACAATAATAAAAATCATAATGGTAATAGATTACAGATTTTTGATTAGAAACTTACATGCTCCTTTATCACATTTTTTTCTTACAAAATACATTTAAGTAGCACGCTTTTGACAAATAAAGAAGGTAAGATGATAAGTATCACTACACTGAAAAAAAATGTATGGTCAAAACTTCCTAAATGTCGTAAAATTTACGGTTTTCTCGGCTCTATGGGAACACATAAAGGAGCGTTAATTTTTACCGAAGGGCTTTGGTAATGATTTTGGTGATATTAACAATAAAATATGGTTTTAAATTATGTGGTGATAAAATTTGTTAAATGTATTAAAAATCGGTGGTTTTATCATAATAGCTTTAAAAAATGGCCATAAATTATTCGGTTAAATTTGCATTTCAGCTTTGTATTTTTTACAAATGTGTGGTAATGAAAACTATAATTTTTGATAAAGCTCTACCATTTGAAAGGAAAAATTAACAAATGGATGTTTTAAATACCGTATATTTTTGTTTTATTAATTATAATTATGTTCTTTTCTTGTCTTTCCTGAAATGGCATTTTTATATTGTATGGTATTTAAGCAGATATTTTTCTCTGTGTAGTAATAAAAATTGTATTAATAATGAACTATAGATTTTTAATTAGTAACTTACGTGCTCTTGGAAAATAAGTTCTTACATTATTTATTTCCCAAAAAATATATTTTCATAACATATTTTTGAAAAAATCAAAAATGTGAGATGAATATTTTGAGAGCATCACTAGAATGTGAAGGCATTAACTATGCTCAACTATTTAAGATTTGTGAAGATAAATTAAAGCATATTTGGGATGTATAACCATATTTGAACTGCCAATCGTCAATGAGATTCGGAATAGTTATTTTGTTGTCTTATTCAAATTTAAACTTCGCATCAAAGTATTTTTTCTCTACTATTTGGTTTGGTCTTAATTATTGGATAATAAGGAACATTATATCCTTTTTCCATAACTTTTGTTCTTGATTATTTGGGGAAATGATTTTTAGAATAATTTCTTTCTTTCTTTTATTTAAATTGGATTTGGGGAGTTTGCGGAAATATACAAGAATCATTGTTTGTAACTTTTGTTTTCACGACATGTCACACTTACTCCAAAAATAAAGTTTTATTTTCAGAAAAGATGTGTGGCGATTTTTAAAAGTTATTGAAAAGTCATATTGCCAAAATGCCATAACATGCTTTAAAGTACCACAAAGCGTTCTAGAGAGAAGCCAAGTTGGTTGCGAAAACTTTTTAATGGCTAACAATATCCCAAGCAGCAAAATAACTTGTACCCTTATTGGACCAATAAGCACGAATCTGGCTCAGTTATGGTTCAAAGGGCCATTGTTTTCAGATATTGGCCCTATATAGAAATGTCCGATACACCCGATGTTTTACAGCCACTTTACAACCAATATCTGCCCTACATAGAATTGTCAGATTCGCCCGATATTTAAATATTCATTACTCAGCTACTGTAGGCCCTATATATTAGTTCTATATAGGACCAATATTAAAAAATCTTGACATCCCGATATTGGTCCTTCTTATAGGACCCATATTGAGCCAATTTCGAGCCCTACTAGGGTCAAGGTAAAATTGTTGCTAGGGTTAATGTAGGGTAGTAGATTTATATATTTTTTTTTTTTTGACGTAATTCGGTAATATGACACATTATTGCAATCCTCTTTTACCCTTTCTGTTGTGTCGTTTAGGAAACTTTTTTAAATCTTTTTTAAATATAAATTTTAATTTTGTAATTTTAAATTGTTTGCATCATAAAATGCTTACACATAGAATACTGAGAAGAATTTTAATAATAAAACACCTGGCTCTTCTTTTAAAAATATATAAATAAAAGCAATAACGATTGTTGTAAATTTTGCACTTTAAAAACTTTAAATTAAAAACTTAATAGTAATTTTCTGTTTATTTAAGTAATTCTTTGTTGAACTTTTATTTTTTTAAATTCAATGATGCATTTTTTCCCACTCTGTTAAATATATGTAAAATGTTAGCTTATGAGCTCAAATATGCCCAAAAATCTAATTTTATATGCACTCTGAAATTAAAGAGTTTTTGCTCGAATCTGCGCCAAAAACCAAATTTATTTGCTCCAAGCATTCCTTTTCTGCCCCAAAATGATTCTGCTACTGTTCCCTCCCTGTACTTTTCAAAATCGTACACAGTTGTAGAAATAGTTTTTAGTCTAAATTATTTCTTTCCTTCTTTGGCAAAAGGAACGGTTTTTCAGAAGAATTTTTTTAAAGACACAAATGAGTTAAAAAGAAAAGTATGACTGAGGCATAAAAATTATACCATTTCTAAAGGACTTTATCGTAAGTAGAAATAAAAAAAAATGTTACCTAGTTTTTAATAGACTTTTTACTGGTTTGTCCGATATTTTAAGCATTTGTCTCAGATGCAGTTCAAAGGCAAACGGAACTTCCGCACTGTTCATGGAGATGTTACTGGCAGTGTCTGACCCTTTTCTAGATGTTCGAGTCCAGTCTTGCAGCTGCAAGAGATCATTGAATTGTGCTGTACTTAAAAATTCTTCATCGCTTGCTAAATAGGATGGTGGCAGTGCAGATTCTTCTGGGACTCCCGAAGACCTTCTGGAGTCTGGTAAAGAAGCGTTACCAGGTCTGGTAGGAGGCAATTGAAAAGTACCTGCAAAAATATGAATTTTTTTATATGTTCATTATAAATTAATTTTCACATAGCCTTGTCGGTAGAGCATTGGGCACATGTCCAAGGGGTCATGAGTTCAATCCCCGCAGTCTAAAGACTAAATGGTGACTGATGTACGTTAAATCTGTCGGGTCACGAAGTTCTCCAAGTAACAAAGCAATACCTTTGGGGGTACTGAATTAGAGATTGATCGTTCTCTGGTTCCGGCCAAAATTACGATATCCAATCTCACGATCCCCCTAACATTACATCGAGCAGCTATAATATGCGACGCAATCGATGTCAGCCAAAAAGACTTGAATAAAATCTGTCGCAGAATTTTCTAATGTTTACGCTTCAATTTAAATATGATCTAAATTAACATTGAGTGGGGCTGAATGTTAGATTTGAATTTATATTATCATTTCGCATTACCTAAAATATTTAACATTGCTATAGGATGTGTGACAACACAAATGTATAGAATGCTTTGCTTGTTAATGATCGTTGTTTTGTGTTAGCATTATTAAATTGTCTTTTATAATATCTGTTGACCTGTGGATTATATTCTTCGCTATTAAATCTTTTCTTACACTTTGTTTAGAAAGTTCATTTTTTAACATTATTTTCACACGTTCATTATTTTCATCATTTCAGGATTACTATAAACCATATTTTTATAGTAAGCCTGCACAAAAATTTACATTTATTCTTCGTTATCTTGACTATACATTTCGCATGATTTGGAACTAAAATATTACACAAATAAGCATAAATTTTAATTTTTAATGCATTTTAATCAATTTGAGATTTATTGTATGAGCCATTCTATTCATTAATTCGTGAATGTTATTCAAATAGAAAAGGAGGTCACTTGAGTTATTTTTTTATGTATTTTTCCTGCTTTAGTTTTTGACTTTTTTTTTTCTCTTAGAGATAAATTTACATTAATTACTCGTAATTATTGCAAATTTATCCAATATAAAGGATCACTATGACACTTAAATGTAAATTCATGATGAACTTAACTTATAATAATGTCCACAGTTTGAGCATTTTAAACAAACTGATAAATACTAATTTACTTGGGGAAGTAATAAATAGCCCTTTCGGTAGGTTAAGAGGCGATGATAATGAGAAATAACAGTACTTTATCACATGAAGAGCAATTTAAATTCATTTTAAATCTGTGTACAAGTTCTGTTTTTGACTTTTCTTAAAAATAAAATCGCTACATTTTTAAACTTGCTACATTTCTCTTTCAAAAAAGAATTATGAAATATTCCAAGCACCTATAGACTCTATGTTACCATAATTCAGACAACTATTGAAGGTGCTTCAGGTGGTACAGCTGCTTCATCACCACTCAGAGTTAACTTAGGAAAAAAATATCCTAGTGCCGTTGATGTGAACTAACCGCATCGTGCTTTTACATGCTCTTTTACACCCCTTTCTTGCATTTACATGTTCTTTCTAGAGAAATCAGTTTTAAAATTTAGATTAAAAATAACATAAAATAACCTCTTTCACTGTTTTCCGGTTCCTTTTAAATCGGGAAATCCTTGAGGACAATATTTGTTTCAGAAAATAAGTAAGTTATTTCCTAAAAAGATGTTCTAATGCTGTATTAATTTTAAAATTTGAAAAAACAAAAAAACAAACAAACGAAAACAGTTTATTAAAAAGACCTTTAGGAGAAGAACATGCTTTGGATTTTAAGGTCCTTGGGAAGAGAATATGCTTAGTTTAATTTAACTTACTTTCAACAGGTGGTTCTGCTACAGGCTCTTCTATAGGAAAATGCTTTGCGGAAAACAGATGCAGTTGATGATCAGCAATATCTAAGGTGGGAGGACGAATGCTAAACAATGGGCATTTACCACTTTTTATGATAGGAACCTCTTCCTCTTCACTTGGATGTTGCTGTCTTTTTAGGAACGATGCCAGCTCGTTTGCCTCACGACGAATGAAAGCTTTGATAGATGGCAGTTTACTTTTATACTCAAATGTGACGTCTCCCCTCGCAGATATGACAGGTTGTGGTTTTTCCTGAGCAACCCAAGTCGGTATATCTTCAGCACTCAATGACTGATATCGTTTCTTAGCAGATTTAAGAGAATCATCTTGGAATTCTAAAGCTGAAACTATTTTATCACCGCCATCAGAGGACGCCAGATCACCGGCATCAATATGGCGAAAGCGATAAAATTCTTTTGGGTCAGAGGATTTCCTTTTCTTTTCCAGTTCTGGTACGACGTTCTCCCCCGCAGCACCTTGTTGCGTTTGTGTCACAGTTTCTTGTTTTTCTTTTATTTCTGTTTGTTCTTGTGGTTGTGATTCGACCTGAGTTGAAATTGCAGTTGGCTCGAGTGTCGTGGTACTCGATATTGATAGCTTGTCTTTGTCTGGGATTATTTGTTCCTCCTCTTCTTCGTCGAATTTCGTTTCTTTTTCCTCAGCGATTGGAGCACTGATTGCGAACGAGGATTTTCGGATTCCTCTTTGGAGGCGAGGACTTCTTTCGACTTCTGGAGGCAGTAACGCTGGACTTTTCCGGGATTCTTCGTCAACTCCAGGATCTGAACCGACAGATCCAATGGAATCTCTGCTACTTCTATCGGATGCACTACTTCTTCGACTGACATTACTACTTGGAGTTAAGTTAGGACTGTTACTGCATCGCGTATTTAGATCTCCATCCGTATCTGATGATTGTTGCTCCAGAAGAAGTTTCTGAAAGTAAATTTTTTTTTTGTATTTTTAACATTATAAAAAATTTCTTAGATCAACATTTTTCCAATTTCATTAACTTTCAATTTATTTTAAAGTTTATGTTTTCAGTTTCGTATTAGATTAGAGAAAAAGCTATAAAGAAAACGTTATTAACTCCATGGACCATTTCTACAGCTAAAAAAATCTTATTGTACAGTGCTAAAAAAAAAATGAAAAAAAAAAAAAAATGAACCACCCTGAATAACTTTTGATGTAATGATCGCATTTCTAAGTTTTCTTACTCAATCTTAATGGTTCGAGGAGGTGACCTGAAATATGCTAATTAATTCATGCATACGATGATTTAAGTTAAGAAATTAGGCACAAAAACAATCTTCTCAGAATAAACAAATCTTTTTTCGAATCCCAAAATATAGCTGGTAGTCGCAATATGAGAATTATGGTCCCATAGTTTGGTTAGGAGAGCGAACCAAAGTTTGGACCCCTTAATGTCAATTTTACTTTTTGCGTATTTCGCCTTATCTCGAGAAATCTTAAAGCGAATTGAAAACTTTTTGCACGCAATTATTAAATTCGTTTATCCAAAGATAATTCCACTCAAAAAATAAATTTTGGTAAGTATTTATTATTTTATTTAATAATAACCGACAATATTTTAAATTGTAAGGAAGACAATCTTTACGTTATTTTAAAGACTGTAATTTTGAAAGGCAAAATGCAACAGTTCTGAGAACAGTTCCTGAGAAATTAAATTTTAAATATATGACTTTTTTGAAATCCAATTTTCCAGTTTGTGGCTACCCTAGAGGTTTTGAGGATCAGAAATCGGAATCCGTTGAAAAAAACGTTATGTTTATTCAAAGGAAATATGTTTTTTGTGCCTGATTTCATAACTTAACATCGTCTGCGATTATTTATTAGCATATTTGAAATCAACCCCTCCAACCATTAAGATTGAATCCTAGAACGTGAAGATGGCACAATGTGTAACTTAATCTTATCAAAAGATTAATAAAGAAATTTAAAATTCATTTGAATGCTCAATTGATTTTCCGGAGGAAGAAGAAAACATTTTCCTGAATTCTGTAGTACATTTAATTTAAACAAGTTGAACGTGGATTGTTATTCATAGATTTGCAAAATGTTTGAATTTGGCGTGATAATTTTTTTGGTTCATTCATTTCATTTCATTGGTTTTTCGATTGGGACGGGACGACTAACAAATGGGAAGAATAAGATACTGATTATTTCAGATGATTTCAGTTTTCGGGTTTTTAATAGTGAATCATTTTGGAGTCAAGAGTTCAAAATTCGAAAAAATCCGATGGAACCAATTTTCTTTAAACAGCCAATACTAGTTTATTTAGTTTAGGGGAGAAATGTAATTATTCTTTTCTATCAAGCGTTACACCACGGGCAAAATTATATAAAAATTTACCTGCAACTCAGTACTTTTCTATGGTATAACGCTCAGAAGGGTAAATGCATCTTTTGTAACTGTATTTACTTTAAGGATTACAAATATTAAATCATTTACTTGGAGCCTTTCTTGTATCTGTTTAGCGTGACCAGATTCCGGGTTTTCTGGTGGTTGAGGAGAATTCGAGGCACTCACACTGGGTGATTTTCGAGCAATAACATCGTAAACAATAAAAGTCCCATCGGCTGTTCCAACGAGAATTGTGTTATCTAGGGGCAAAATACTGGTGATTCTAGCATGGTTCGTATATGCTTCATCAACCTAAAAGAAATATGGTAGAAACTGTCATTAAGAATGAATGTTACCAAATGATCCAATCTTTACAATACTAAAAATGGGAGTCTAATCTCAACAATATTTTTTTATGTTATAAAAGCTAATTATTTGGTTATTCGAATATGCATCCCCTCTGACTGTCAATATCTTTCAAAAAACATTTTTTAACATTGCTGAAAGCACCACGTTAGTTTGATTTCAGTAAAAAAGACACATTGTTATCCTTGTTATTATTCAGCATAACCAAATTCCGTATCGTATCACGTGTAAGGAAAATCACGGCAGATTTTACTTTCGTTTTTAAGTCATATGCATGACCTGGAGTTTTTAAAGGAATTGGTTTTAGGTTTCGATTTTACTTACATTGTTTTTAATTCACTATGAAGAAAAATCAAACAAAACAAATATTTGCAATTTACATCAATAACGAGCTATTATTTGCTATGTGTTTAGGGATAAGGATTAATGGGGTAAAATAGGAATTTCAATGTAATTGTTTATACCTTCAGTAAGCGTAGAAGTAATTTAAATTAAAGATCGTAGTATTTGTTGTTATATGAGAAAAACTTGAGGTACAAGCTTATAATTCCAGTGTAAAGTTTCAAAAGGTGTTTTAGGTTTTTCCAGGTTTGAATTTTAACATTATAACAAAACCCAGCGCAGTTAGTCCTTTCAAAAGTGCGAGTAAATGTATGATTACATACACTAAACAGCATTTTAAATTTGTTTCGATATGAATATGCTTTAAGAAATCAGCTTACCGAAAATTTCATGATTTAAGTACGTCATTTTTTGCATGGCTAGTTTTTACACCTCATACCAATATTAATTCAATCGAGACTACGAGACTATTTAATTAGACAAATGAGCATCAGTTTATTTTTTCTTTATTCATATAGTCTTAAAGATTGAACGCTTGAACGCACAGAGCCGTGGTGGCTTATGGGATTTAGAGTTTGCCTTCCAATGAGGTGAGCTGGGTTCGAACCCCAGCGAAGGCTGGACGATACGAATTACACACCTGGCTCTCCCCGCCACAGTGTTGATGTAAAATATTCTCAGTGGTAGACGGATGATGGGTTAGAATTGCCATAAGACTGACAGCGGAAGTGTTTCGTGCTTTTCCTCTCCATGTAGCGCAAATGCGTTCGAGTTCTATCAAAAAGTCTTCCACGGAGACAAATTTCTCAAAATACCAGACGCTCTCTTGTCTTCTGGATTGGGTTCAAAATTACAAGGCTACGGAGCTGACCATTAGAAATCGTAAAATCGAAAATTGGGTCGGCTGTTCAACGATGGTTATAAATTAAAATATATAATCACCAAATGAATCTATACGTTTATAGTAGACTCTGTGACATGGTCTTCCAATGGTATGTCTTTGAGAATTTCATATTTCCTTTTCCTTTTGTTAGAGCAGAATAATTTTTAAAACGTTGTAAGTCGACATGCATTATGCGGGGTCGCAATAGATGCTCAAGGAGGGAGAATCCTTTCTGCCCCAAAGTCACAGGTGTGCCTCGCTCAAAGTTTTCCCCCCTCCCTTTATAATCACAGGTTCGGAGTTGACGCTAATCCATTGCACTTGACATTATCTTTCTTACCATAGGGGTTGATAGTCATGATGCGTTTATCTCTGATTGGCGCCTTTTCGTTAATATTTATTATTTACAAAATGTTATGATTTCACAAAACAAGAATAAAATTCAGAATTTTTAAAGACTGCTTTCTTTTGCGCGAGGTTATTTTTAAAAATTTATTTATTGTAATTCGTTTAAAAACTTATTTATTGTTTTCGTTAATATTTATTATTTACAAAATGTTATGATTTCACAAAACAAGAATAAAATTCAGAATTTTTAAAGACTGCTTTCTTTTGCGCGAGGTTATTTTTAAAAATTTATTTATTGTAATTCGTTTAAAAACTTATTTATTGTTTTCGTTAATATTTNAAGTAATTTAAAAATTATATTTTAAATTTCCGCAAGAAAATAAACAGTCTCCTCTTCTTTTTTTTTTAACTTTACTAATAATCCATTCCTCCGGAAAGTAAATTAAAAAAAAAATATTTCATGATATCAGTATTTATTTATTTTTCATTTAATCGCATTCATTTAATCGAGAACTAAATCATTAAGCATTACGTTAGTTACCATTGATCGCAAGAAACGTACAGAAACTAGACAGTATAACTTATAAAAATTAATATGAATTTAAAATTTTCGGTGGACGTGTTTTTCTACTTTGATATATATTGTATATATATATATATAAGGCATAAGCCTTATTACGTATTTTTTAAATAAGCAATTTTTTTGTATTTATTTTAATTTTTCTTTACTATTTTATTTGTAGTTAACGAATGTTTAAAAAATTCAGATTGATAAAAATTTTATTCTTGCAAATAAATATGTGTGTATATGCTACCACCTCAAAAAAAAAAAACATTCTTGACTTCTTTCACATTTTTTCTATTTCAATTAAATTTTAGTGACTTTTTTGTATTAATACTTTCAGAACACAAAAAAATACTGAATTACTGATATACATTCCTTTAAAACGAAGTGCATGATAAGTTGATTTCAGTAATAACATGAACAATACCTAGTGCATAGCTTCATTTAAAATTACTTCTAATATACTAGTATGCAACTGCTTTTGAGAGATGAGAGAATTGGCGAGTTTTCAGACTTCAAGAATTGTAGCAGGATTCGAAGGTATTAAAATACGCCAATGCCAATCTCATTGTGTAACCCCTAAGCTTTCTCGAAGTTCTTACTTCCAACAGGTGTGTTCTTAGGGGGGGGGGACTGTCTTGAGTAGTACAATGGGTTATCTTTTGGGCCAGAGAGGGCATCCCCGCTCAAGGAAGCTGCGAAACACATATAAGATTTAAATGGAGACTTTTGATTTGGAATATTAAAGAAAGAAGGTAAGATTTTTGACGACAATGCTCACTCACTTTTTGCCTATCAAACAGCTTTTATTGCAACAGTTTAATTACTATCCATTCTACAGTATGGATTTGGCACACTGTGGCTACTTTTGTATCCCAATATGAAGTAACATTTGATAGGAATGAGATTTATTTCCTTAAAAAGGCAAATGGTTTAATGCTTTATCAAGAATATAGCTGGGAGCTGATGTAATTTAGGTATACAAAAATTGTCATAATGTCTACAAAAATAAATCGATTGATTGAGTGAATAGACAAACGTTTGATCTTTAAGATAACGTAAATATTAAAAAGAAATAGTCCATTTATAATTTTTTAGAAAAAAAGAGATCTTAGCTTAAAAGGCCTTAGCAAAAAGTTGGCGAAAAGCACTTAAACCACATGGAGAAAAAAATATGGTAAAACTACTAAACAGTATGGTAATAAAATTTCTGGTGACAATAAAATTTCTGGTGAGACCCCCTCATTTTTAAAATAAAAACCAAAATATGCAGAATCTAAACATTTCAGTTTGAAATTTTTCCATTCATATAGTTACGGTTGACTGGAAATTCTGGTTTTCAAAATTAAAAAACGTATTGCTACACATTTAGTTAAAAACATAAAGCTTAAAAGTAAATTTAGGCAAATAAACGGTTTTTATACCAGGTCTTGAGGTATCATGACAAAACTACCAAATTTTACGACATATACCAAATTTAATCACATATTATAAAACGATATCTTATTGTTAATTTTATCAAGATTATTACCAAAGCCTGCTCTTAGCTTGGTGAAAATTAGAGCTCTTTGGTGTTCCCATATAGCCAGAAACACAGCAAATTTTATCATATTCTGGAATAGTAATAGTTTTACCATATTCTTCTTTTTTTCTATGTGCAGAATATGGAGGTAATTCCACTGAGATTTATTATTACTTTAAGTTGATCAAAATATCTTATTAAGTTATTAAAAAGTAAGTAATTTCTTCAATTTTCTAATTCTCTCTTTTACTCGTGAAAAAAAAGTATCGTTAAATGAATAAAATTAGCTATTTCATTGTCAATAGATAAAGGAAAATACTTTTGATGATCGAGAACTATAATTCTCTCTGATGTCATACAGTAATCTACAGTTGAGAAAATATGGATCCCACAGCTGGAGAATAGATGAACCTCTTAACGTAATCCATACTCCTTGGTCTCCAACAAGCATGCGATAGATGTAGTCCAAATTATTCGATGACGCTTGGAACTGCTCCACAACATCCAGTGTCCTGAGGAAATAATAGAACATATTCCAATAAGTAACTGGCATGGAATGATTCAAGATAGAATGTTTGATAATAATTCCAAGATTTATCAAGCTAGATTATACAAATATGTATTATTTAAGAGGCTTCTACCCTCAGCACTTTGGAACTTAAGTTAAAATTTTGATGTGCCGTTTTTCGTTATTTCTTTTTTATTTAACAAACTTTTGATAATATACTATTATTCGAAAGCACAATATTTTTTATTTTATTTTATAACCGTCGTTGAACAGCCAACCCAGTTTTGGGTTTATGATTACAAATGTTCAACTCCGTAGCCTTGTAATATACCTAATCCAGAAAATAAAGGAGCTGCTGAATTAATCATTGGAAGAAATTTGCCTTCGTGGAGGACTTTTTTGGTGGAACTATTCCGCCTTTGCTGTATACGGAGAGGAAAACCACGAAAACCTCCTACGGTTAGCCTTATTGTTAGGGAACTCTAACCAATGATCCGTCTACCACTGATGATATTTTACATCAGCACTGTAGTCTTTCCGGGTCACGTGCTTGATAATTTTTAGAACTTTCTATGTATTTTCCCATCAAAAATTTGAAACAATAAAACTATGCGATATTTTGATACGTGTCAGTAATTTAAAACTACGCATGTGTCAGTTTTTGTTACAGTTTAATGGATGATGCTGAGAAATTATTTTTACGTTTATTGTATAAAAACAACGATATTCATCAAAATTCAGGAAACAGGCAACTGTATACTATTTAAACACCTTTTAAAAACTGCTGATAACATAATAGCGTTGGCAGAATTTTATCAAAAAAAATTAATAGAGAATCTAAAAATCATGCGCTTTATATCTCAAATTCTATTTGGGTGACGGTCTTATTTACGTGTATCCTAAGATACTGCCGAATAGAATAAATATTCACCATTTTTTTGCTGAGAATTTAACAAATACAATTAAAAGTTTATTTAGAATATTTTTTCTGCGTCTCCACCCCGTTGACAGGAGAGAGGATTCACACGGGTATCCTGGTGTTATATTCTAATTACCCAGTATGTACAGTAATTACACTCTCATGGAGGATTACATAAACACTAATTCAAAATTATTACGAGCTAAATTAATATTGTGGGTTATTTATCACGAAAATATACCTTACAGAACATAAATATAAATTTTCATTTTTAAAGTTTAAGGACAATGTTTACATCATTTTTTGCGATGATTAAAAACTTAATCACTTAAAATGAATAAGTTAATTTTCCTACTCAAAAAAGAGCGAAATTGTTTAAAACTGAACTTGAGTTAAATACACCTATGTTTGAGTCAAATACTTGCTTGGAGTTGAATCGAATTTGAGTGGCAGATATTTAAGAGATACTTGAGTTATTTTCGCTCAAGGATGATTTGGATGAGTGACAACATATCAGCTCAGAGAGACTTAAAGTAGATTCCATTTATTATTTAATTGTGTGTAAGCTATAAGCTGGAATTTGTATCGTTTTATTTAATAAAAGCAAACGATGTGGAATTTCGGTTGCTATGACGATATAATGGAACAATTTGTTTAAATAAAAGTGTTATGTTCTTGCTATTTTACGTTTAGCTATTTACTCAAGTATAGCACAATTATGTCTTTCAACTTTTTGAATAACGAAGAATTGAAGGAACATTTAATTAGTAGTGGTATTTCTGAAGAAAACGCTGCTTTACTTTTGGGTAAGAAAATGTATTTTACTTCCCTACTAGAAGAATACTAAATGTAGTTGCGCACACAAAAGGCACTTCATCGGATCTAGATTAATTTACAAGATACCAAATTTTATATGACTACTCCTTGGACTCTTATCAGTGTCACACAAAAACCAGATTTCGTAATTATGATAGATATTTGTCTTTCTGCATATAGAAATATTTTAATTTAAAATTGTAATTTAAAAACATTTATCTTTTAATAACTGTCATAGCTAAAGGATTATTATTACTTTTACTTTACTTTCAAGAGGTTTTGATTTAAAAATGTCTTGTTGATTTTTGGTATTAAAAGAAGAAAAAAAGAGTATATACTACCTTGCACTGAGTACAGTAACGTTTGGACCACAAGCACACCATAATCTTCTCCCAACCAATTGTAAGCATGTTACAGGACTTGAACCAATAACAACATAAAACACTTCAGGCTTCGGCATACGTCCTTGGACATTCTGGAAAGAGTAAAACAATGAATTTTTCACATTTAAGCAATGCGTTTAAAAAAAAAACATCGATAGCAATGGGTCAATTTTTTTGTTGCATGAGATTTCATAACCGATTTTAGATACTTTCATGTCACCGATTTCAAATCTGCAATTGGCTTTTATCGCCAAGCTACAGATTTTTTAAATAAAATTTTCAGACACATTTTTCGTCGAAATGTACAAGTTTAAAAGCTATACAAAACAGGTTGTCGCATAGATAACAGATTTCTAGGGAAGCTAGGACATATTATCGGTAAAAAAAAAAAATTAATTCTTATAAGCACATGCCCGGAAATGTCATCATATACCGATAGGGACGCTTCCCCTATCATAAACTGTTTTTTAGTGTTATTCTGAACAGGTCATGATAGGGAAGCGTCCCTAGCGGCGAGCGATAACGTTTCGAGGCATGGGTTTGTAAGCATTTTTCATCCTGATGAGATGTCCTGTTAACTGCCATAGAAGTTTGTCGCAATTCTTACGAGAGAACCGCGAATCCCAACGAAGACTGGTCGACACGAATCCGCAACCGGCTAGTGTTGACGTAAAATATCCTCAGTGGTAAACGGATCAAGGGTTAGAGTTCCTTTGCTGTCAGGGTAACCGTTGAAAGTTCTCGAGGTCTTCCTCTCCATGCAACGCAAATGTGTGTTAGTTCCATCAAAGAGTCCTCCACAAAGGCTACTTTCTCCCAATACTTGATCCAGGAGTTCCCTTGTTTTCTGGATTGGGTTCAAAATTACAAGGCTACGGAGTTGTACATTAGTAGTCGTAAACCCAAAAATTGGGTCGGCAGTTTAACGACGGTTATAAAATAAAATATTATTGCGACATATTTTTTATATAACTTTTTTAACTTTGTACATTTTGGTAATAAATTGACTGAAAATGACAGTTAAAAAATCTGTAACTTTAGGAGCAAAACTAGTTTGAAATCCTCACACCCGATTCAGACAAGTTTAAGTTCCTTTATAAATGAAACAAAAAATTTGTTCTGAGGTGTATTTTGAGAAGGAAACTATTATGGAAATTACTTCAACGACAGCAAGAGTTCCATCAGCAAGACCAGCAAAGACTTGTTTGACGCCATCCCTTTGATGTGAGCACAGACACAAAACGCATTCATTCAGGCATATCTCCCACATCTTTTTCCTTCATTGAAATGAAAAGACATGTTTAGTTTACACAAATTACGTATATATATTTATCATCAAGTTTAGCCTTTTGATATCTTAGCTGTAAATAATGGCACAAAATGTGTTTTTTTACTTAGTTATAGGTGGCTTGAAAAAATCCTCCATATAAGTAGGAATAATAAAATAAATAAAAAAAAAATTAAGTAATTAAACTTAATTATTGCTTTTAATTATTTATAATTGCTGCATAAAAATAGTTTTAATTTTTTACCTTTTATTTACGTTGGATATTTTAATTTTGTATTAGTAGATACTTTAACCCCTTTTCAGCCAAAGGTGGCGTAAATGCACCATTTCAATGTATATTTTTTATTTCCCTTGTGAGGTATATATTTCACTCATTTTATTTTTCTGCTATTTTAAAGTGTTCTGAAGGCATCTATAAACTATTTTTACATTGATTGGAGTAAAGACTTTCTGTTCAGAAATTTTTAAACTATTCTAGTTTCAACTTTTAATTTGTTTAACTTTTGTGAAATGTATAATCATACCATTTGAAATTAAAAATATGCTTTATGATGGGTTAGAGTTGCAAGTTACGTAAATGAAAAAAAAAAAAAAAAAAAAAAAAAAAAAAAAAANAAAAAAAAAAAAAAAAAAAAAAACAAATTTCATAAAAAAAACTGATGCTCAACTAAATGGTTCGTCTATTGATTTGGTTGATGGTGGGGATACGCAAAATTTTATTTTCTAAAGGAAATATTTTCATGCACGAAACTTTTTTGTGTCTTAATGAATATAATTTAAGCATATTTCAATGAAAATAATGCCACATTTCATACAGTTTCTATGCTTGGTCTAAAATGGATTAATTGTTTCGGTCCTAATTAGCTTTTCAGTTGTATAGCAATGGAAAATAAATAAAACAAAATTATTTTTTGATTTTTCCTAGTATTAATGAAAGCAATAAACTTACTGTTTTATCCCCACACTAAAAATTTTTCTAAAAAAAATCCCACTACTTTTAATCTTATAATTACTTTTTACACAGTTTTCATGAAGACTTACCTGGAAGCGGTATGGTAGGCGTGAACAAAGTGAGAGTACGTTCCAAAGAGCATTGTATCGTTATTAGGAGCGTGCATGCACATCACACGTGATTCAAACTAAAAAAATTCATCATTTCAATTGCAATAAAGTTTTTTTTCCTTTTAAAAAAATATTAATGCAAAAAAATTAGCTCACTTCTATGTGAATTCGATACATGATATTGTGTTCTATAATCACTGTAGAGACACGCGATCCGTGTTGATGGCTGTGACATATCCATACTTTGTCTGGAAATAAATGAAAATATCTAAACATTTGATCAAGAAGCAATATTTTATAGTCCGTGTCTTAAGAGAAGACAAATAAAAGCAAATTGGATATGTTTATTTGAAAGAATTATAACTCTTACCATTTCCCCAACATGCAGCACATTCTATCAAATAGTTACCTTCCATTTCAACTTGGGCCATCTAAATAAAACAAAAAATATGTAATTCAATAAAATATAATAACCTACGTCTAAAATTTGCTGAAATATGTACCTCTCCTTTTTTTAAAATTTCATTGCATGCATTCATCAGTAAAGCAGGACTTTAATAATGAGGGAGTGATAAGGCTGAATAAGATTATAATAGGTGGTAGTAGTTATAACAGAAAATTTTAAAAACCTCATAATACGGAGTGAAAATGCATTAGGATTTTTCATTTGTTTGTTTTTTTTAAATTCAGAATTGCTCTAACATCAACTCTAATATTGCTCTAAATGCTAATTTGAACAAAAAAAGGTAGCAAATAAAAGTTGATTGTTAGCCAATGAAATCAAAAACTTCTGCTTATTATTATATAACCCAATTTTGGAAATAGCAAATAATTTTCAAAACACAATTATGTAACAAGTACAAAATATCTGTTACAGAAGGTAATTACCATTTGTTATTAACAGAACTATTCTCCCTCAAACTATTTTTATACAACGAGTTATAATTCAGAAGCTGTTTTCAGGTACTTGAATAGCGAATACTAATTTTAACGCATTTCTTATAAAAATGCGAATTTAGTTTCCTATAGCATATTTCTCATAAAAATGCGAATGTAGTTTCTTATAACATATTTTTTTATTATAGAATGCGAATGTAGTTCCCCATACATTAATCTTAGAAAAATACGAATGTATTTTCCTATATACTAGATAGATACTATTTTTTACAACAGATATAAAATATCTGTTACCAATAGTATTAGCCATTTTTTTATTATTTTGAGAGTACATTACGATTGTAGTTTTCTATTTCAAATTTCTTATAAAATTGTGAGTATAGTTTTTAATTACACATTTCTTACGAAAATGAGAATGCAGTTTTTTAAATACTAGATAATAATATTAAGAATTTAATTGAGATTGAAGATTTAAAGATTTTAAGATTGCGAATGCAGTTTCTTGCATACTAAATTGATATTATTTTCCACTACAGGTATAAAATAACTCGCCCCAATAATATTAACCATCTTTTTATTATTTTGCAAATACATTACTATTATAGTTTCTATTACATATTTCTTATAAACGTATGAAAAAGTTTCCAAATACATATTTCTTATAAAAATGAGAAAACAGTTTCTACATAGTAGAATAGTTTTTTTTATATACTATAACAGTTTCTTATATACTAATTAAAAAATTAATTAAGTTTGAAGATTTTAACATTGCGAATGCATTTTCTTATATACTAGATTGATACTATATTTTACAACAGGTATAAAATATCAGTCAAAAATAATAAAATTTTTAATTATTTTAGGTTACATTAGGATTGCAGTTTTCTATTACATATTTCTTTTAAAATAGTGAATGCAGTTTTCAATTACATATTTCTTACAAAAATTAAAATGCAGTTTCTTACATACTAGAAAAAAATATTAAGATTCTGATTTTCCGTCAAATTTAATACATACAATAAATATTTTTTAATTTTTTTTAAAGGAAAATGTTAAATTACTCATGCATCTGTTCATTTCATGTATTTTTCCGAGCATCTATAAAATTTACCATACTTTTATCTAAATGGATCAATATAAAATTCAAATTGAAAATATATCTTCATTTAGATTTGAAATGAAAAAGAACGACATTTCAGAGTCAGTCCCCGTTTAATCACCCATAGAAAGGGGAAGAATTTTATGAAATATGGAATGGTAGGGGAGAAATGAAAAAGGGATTTGAGTAAAAGGGAAGGCAATATTTGCACTGAAAAATACCACTCTGTCTCTCTCTCTTATAGCACTTAGTTCTCTCTCTTTCTGTTCTGCTCTACGCTTGGCAGCGTTATGGAAGGCTTCTCGCTTTCTCCATAACTCATCTCGTTTCGGGAAAGGTTCCAATTCTTCGNTTTTAAACTATTCTAGTTTCTTAACTTGGAAACGGTTATTGACAAATTAACTTTTATAAAATGTATAATTGAATTAATGTATAATGAAATTAATAATATGTTTATGTGTTACGATGAGTTAAAGTTGCAAGTTACGTAAATAAAATGAAAATAAAAACAAATTTCGTAAAAAAACTGATTCTCAACTAAATGGTTTGTCTATTGATTTGGTTAATGTGCAGTTACATTCTATTTCTAAAAGGAAATATTTTCTTTCATGAAACTTTTTTTGCGTCTTAATGAATGTAATTTAAGCATATTTCAATGAAAATAATGCCACATTTCATACAGTTTCTATGCTTGGTCTAAAATGGATGAATTGTTTCGGTCCTAATTAGCTTTTCAGTTGTATAGCAATGGAAAATAAATAAATAAATAAAACGAAATTATTTTCCGATTTTTCCTAATATTAATGAAAACAATATCATTATTTAATAACTCATAAAATAATGAAGATATAAACAAACTTATGGCATTTATTGATGGAATAACTCATATATTTTCCTTTTCAGGTTTGAATATCTTTACTTCTGTAAATATCGTCTGCGCGTGTGGTTAATTTCAGATAATTTAATTTTCCAGTCTAAATATCTGTACTTTTCTAAATATCGTCTGCTTATTAATTGCCTTTTTCTCTCTTTTGTTTTTGGCAACTATTGAAATGTCATGTTTACTTTTGATGTGTTTGTTCTAGGTAATACTTTTCTATGGGATGTTTTATTCGAGTGGATATTAAGGAGAATTCATACACTACAAGAGAAAGCACAGATTTTATGGTGGATGCCGACATGCTTGCCGCTACCTGGCTTGTAATTGACTATCGACTTGATATTCTCCGTGCGACGAAGGGGGCATACGTGGAAGTTCATTGACAAGGGTCATGAAACTTTTTGTGTCTATCTAACCATTTATGTTATTAATTTTAATCTATCTTTATTATTTTATGAGTTATTAAACATCAAAATGGGTCCGGGACTTTATAAACACCCTGTATTTTACACAGTTTTCATGAAGACTTACCTGGAAGCGGTATGGTAGGCGTGAACAAAGTGAGAGTACGTTCCAAAGAGCATTGTATCGTTATTAGGAGCGTGCATGCACATCACACGTGATTCAAACTGAAAAAATTTCATCATTTTAATAAAGTTATTTTTCTTTTTTTTTAAAAAAAGGAAATATTAATGCAAAAAAAAGAAAAAAAACTAGCTTACTTCTATGTGAATTCGATACATGATATTATGTTCTATAATCACTGTGGAGACACGCGATCCGTGTTGATGACTGTGACATATCCATACTTTGTCTGCAAATAAATGAAAATGTCTAAACATTTGATCGAGAAACAATATTTCATATGTTCGCATCCTAAAAGAAGACAAATAAAAGCAAGTTGGATATGTTTATTTGAAAGAATATAAACTCTTACCATTTCCCCAACATGCAGCACATTCTATCAAATAGTTACCCTCCATTTCAACTTGGGCCATCTAAATAAAACAAAAAATATATAATTTTATAAAATATAATAACTTACGTCGAAAATTTGATGAAATGCGTACCTTTCTTTTTTTAAAAAATTTTATTGCATGCATTCATCAGTAAAGCAGGACTTTACTGATGAGGGAGTGATAAGACTGAATAAGATTATAATGGGTGTTAGTAGTTAAAACAGAAAATTTTAAAGATCTCATAATACAGAGGAAAGGCGCATTAGGATTTTTCATTTCTTTGTTTTTTTTTTTAAAATCCAGAACATCAACTCTAATATTGCTTTAAATGATAATTTGAACAAAACAAAAGTAGCAAATAATAGCTGATTGTTAACCAATGGAATTAAAAACTCTTGCTGATTATTATGTAACCCATTTTTGGAAATAGCAAATAATTTTCAAAACACAATTTTGTAACAAGTACAAAATGTCTTTCGCAGAAGGTAATGACCATTTGTTATTGACAGAACTATTCTCCCTCAAACTATTTTTATACAACGAGTTATAATTCAGAAGTTGTTTTCAGGTATTTAAAAAGCGAATACTAATTTTAACGCAGTTCTTATGAAAATGCGAATTTAGTTTCCTATGGCATATTTCTCATAAAAATGCGAATGTAGTTTCTTATAACATATTTTTTATTATGGAATACAAATGCAGTTTCCCATACATTAATCTTAGAAAAATATGAATGTAGTTTCTTGAATACTAGATAGATACTATTTTTTACAACTGGTATAAAATATGTGTTACCAATAATATTAACCATCTTTTTATTATTTTGTGAGTACATTACGATTATAGTTTTCCATTTCATATTTCTTATAAAAGTGCGAATATAGTTTTCAACTGTACATTTCTTACAAAAATGAGAATGCAGTTTTTTAAATACTGGATAATAATATTAAGAAATTAATTAAGATTGAAGATTTAAAGATTTTAAGATTGCAAATGCAGTTTCTTGTACACTAGATTGATACTATTTTTTACTACAGGTATAAAACATCTTGCCCCAATAATGTCAACCATCTTTTTATAATTTTACGAATACATTACGATTGTAGTTTCTATTACATATTTCTTACAAAAGTGTGAATATAGTTTCCAAATACATATTTCTTATAAAAATTAGAAAACAGTTTTTATATAGTAGAATAGTTTTTTATATACTATAACAGTTTCTTATATTCTAATTAAAAAATTAATTAAGTTTGAAGATTTTAACATTGCGAATGCATTTTCTTATATACTAGATTGATATTATTTTTTACAATAGGTATTAAATATCAATCAAAAATAATAAAACTTTTAATTTTTTTAGGTTATATTAGAATTGCAGTTTTCTATTACACATTTCTTTTAACTGAGAGAATGTAGTTTTCAATTATATATTTCTTACATACTGGAAAAAATATTAAGATTCTGATTTTCCGACAAATCTGATACAATAAGTAATAATTTTCTCAAAGGAAAATGGAAAACTACTCTTACATCTGTTCATTTTATGTATTTTTTGCGAGCATCTATAAAATTTACCATACTTTTATCTAAATGGATCAATATAAAATTCAAATTGAAAATATATCTTCATTTAGATTCGAAATGAAAAAGAACGACATTTCAGAGTCAGTCCCCGTTTAATCACCCATAGAAAGGGGAAGAATTTTATGAAATATGGAATGGTAGGGGAGAAATGAAAAAGGGATTTGAGTAAAAGGGAAGGCAATATTTGCACTGAAAAATACCACTCTGTCTCTCTCTCTTATAGCACTTAGTTCTCTCTCTTTCTGTTCTGCTCTACGCTTGGCAGCATTATGGAAGGCTTCTCGCTTTCTCCATAACTCATCTCGTTTCGGGAAAGGTTCCAATTCTTCGAAAGCAGCCTACAAAAGTTACACGATACGTTATTAAATATTTTGAGAAGAAAGGTATGTGACAATGTAATTAAAACTTCCGTCCAATAGACAGTTTACTGAGAGTTATGCTGTCGCACCATTTTGGAATGTGCTCAATTTTGATAGTTAAATTGATGTCACTTCAATACTTGTTACTATTCAGAAGGTATACAAAGACAACTTAATTTGTTTATGGCATTTATGGAAATAAATAAAACACGTAAAATTAAGCCTATTTTTAGTTCCATGAAAATTTTGCGGAAATATTTTTATAATTCAGGGCATAAAATTTAAAACATATAAAATTTTTTTTTAATGATACCCTCTTATGTATTTAAAATTTGTGCTGTGAGTGATTTAATCTTACATTTATGACACTAAAGATTTACAAAATTATTTAGATTACAATTGATTTAAAAGTAATTAGTATACTTTGAGTAAATAGTTTAAAATTTGGATTGAAAGTAAACTAGAAAACCTACAAAAATTTGAAAAATTCCCTTAATTTTTTACTTTTCTTCACATTGACCTTATTCTTACATATATATGCTTTATTAAAATACAAATGCGGACTGTTACTGGTAAATTACAAAGTAATATTAAATAATTTCAAAACTTAATCTAAGTTTAAAAACCTAATCTTAAATGAAATCTATTAAGTTAAATGATATTTAATAATCGGTGAAACATTTCCAGACAATATTTTCTTGAAAAATGTATGAATCATTATTTTACTAAGCTTTTAATTTAACATGATTTGCAATTTATTTGGAGTAAGCAAACGCAATAACAAGCATTTCACACAATGAATTCATAGTTATGTATGATAAAAAAAGCTTTTCCAAAGGAAGGGAATTATTTTGTTTGGCATTGTTTGCAATTGCTTAATATTCATAGAGTATTAATTGCTTGATATTGATGAAATATTAAGTTATGAAACTTCTCTGAATATTCTTTACTAAATACACTTTAACTTCAATAATTAAATGTTGCATTTAATAATATTACATATTTGTTTACCGATATGAGGCCATCTACATCGAAACACAGTTTAGCAGCTGCTTTTAGCTGTCTCATTATAGATACAGTATCATGCTTAGCTAAAATTGCTTCTTCCTGCAGGTACAGTATTCCGAGGCAAAATCGAAATAAAACTTTTGGTCCTTCTAGCAGAAAGCAATCCCATATCCTTAAAAGAGTCTACAGAAAATTAAAAAAATTCCAAAGTTACATAGGCATTTTTAAACTTACATAAAATTGAAATATTCTTTTTTTTTGGTGAGTTATTTGAATGACTAACTAAGCAATAACTTTAAGAAATATCGAGAACAAAAGTACTGGGTGGTTGAAAAAGCTCTCGATAAATCCTAATATCACAAATTCATATTCCCTGTAATGCATGCAAATGTAAAATATTCGAGTTCACTGCAAATTCACAGCAAAAATTCCAGATTAAATTACAATAAAATCCATTCTTATAGTAAAATTGTACGGAACAAACAAAATGACATATCGTAATATAGTAATATTTATTGCAAAATCATTGTTTCACTGCTGTTAAGTATTTATTACTGTAAAATATAAGAATAAAATTTTATGGTCAAAATGGATTTTAAGGTGACATTAATTTTACGAATGATTCCGGAACTTTACGGATGATTCCGTAATTTGATCTGGAATTTTTTGTAGTATGAGCGAGATGTAGAAGAAGCAGTGGTCGGAGTTTACTATATTATGTTTGTAGTTAACTACAACTACTTTGTTACAAATGTTTTAAACTACAACTAGAACTACATTTTTGAAAGAAATGACTACAGAAGATGTAGAGACGTAGATGTAGTGACGACGAGAGAGTGTCGAGATGTAGTTTAGGAGATAAACTTAATGGACACCCATGTTCAAATTGGTTTTGAATAAAAAAATTGGTTTATTTAAACTTGAGGAATTATTGAAAAAACTGATTCCTGTTTACGTCAGTTTATAAGTTTAAACCATTTTTAGGAACTTGTTCTTTTCCTCTTTAACTTTTTATGGCCATCTCGGCAGCGAATATTTAATTTAAGAAATTCTACTCTCAAGCAAATCCCGGATCAAATTCGGGTAAAAAGTTTTGGATCCCTCATTGCAGCATCAGTAAAATTAATTTTTCCATAAAATTCATTCTTACTGTAAAATTTTATAGCTTGGTTTTTACAATTATGTCTATTTAATAACAGATTCAGTAATTTTACAGTAAATATTAGCATAACAATTATGAACAATTAGATTTTTTGCTTGTTTTTTGAGTATTACAGTAAAAATGGATTCTACGGTGAAATATACTAGCACCTTGAGTGCCGGTACTTTTTATTTAAATTTGATATAGAAATTTTAACAGTGTGAGAAATTATAAAATATTTTCAATTTGTTAAGTGTTCAACGTTCTTTTATTTCCTTTAAAAAATAAAATACAACGAAAATTACAGAGAAAATATGTTTTTTTCCCATTGAAATGACATTAATGTTTCTGTAGTGTACGTTCGTATTTGAAGATGTGGCCAATGTAATAAATTAACTATTATTCGAATTGACTTGCTTAAATATTAGTAATATGTAATTCTAAATGAGTAACTCTTATTAATGCTTAGCCACAGCATTCACATTGCGTCTATTGACCGACCCGCAAAGATGGGTACCAATCAGATTCGAAAAGATTTTGAGTTTGAACCTTGATTCCGTGAACCACCGTCGTTACAAAATGATGCTTTTTTTATCACACTTCTCTCTGCTTTACCCTTTTTTACAGGTGCACACTTTAACTCTCCAAAAAAAAAGTAGGGACTACATTAGTTTCGATACTTGTCGCGTGGTATTTCCGACCTCTGAAAAGAATGAGTTCAACAAATAAATTAGGAGAGGAACAGAGAACAAATTAAGAGACTAACTGTTAAAATTCAAGCAAAATTTTCACATTTGCTCAATACTTTTTATCTTTTTTCACCATTTTTTACAACAAGTTTCTCAGAGACACGGTAACAGAAAAAAACATCCGTATTCAATAGATTTTGTTATTGAGCACTGTGCTCCCTGCAGAATATTTTTAATGGAAAAAAACAATTTTTTTTAGGAAATCAAAGGAAGCCAAATTGCTTTAGTTGGCGGAATTAAAACTAATTGACTTTTCTTTACAAAAAAAGTGATAAACATTTGAGAGTGAGTTTATGGAAAATACGCAATTGCTGAAAAATGCAATTTTTCAAATCAACACAGCTTTTGATTTATAAATCATTACCTGATACACTATTTAAACGAATTCTTTTTTGCAACTTAAAAAAGAGTTCATTAGAAAAGATCATTAAAAAAGGTTTACAAACAACTTTTGAAACAATTCAAAAACTTTAAAAATGCATTTTAAATTTCAGGTACAAAAAACATTATTGTGCTTTTAAAACGACTAATTTAAAATCTAAAATATTTGATTTTTCTTCAGTATAATTTGTATTTAAGAAAATTAAGAAGAAATAAAAAATTGTGCTTTCTTACTTGTTTTCTTTAAAAACGTAACAGATTAAAAATTGGATATATATATGTCTGCAGGAAAATATTATTTTGAATTTCCTGCAGACAAATTAAAATATTTAATGCATATAAATTACTCAGTTTTCTTTGCCTTTCTGTTATTTATCGTTTAAAAAAACGCAAAAAGTAATAATGAGGAAAAAGAACAAACATTTAATATTTTTAAACATTTTATTTTATCGTATCGCTGTCAAAATATTCTATTCTTCGTGGATATTTTTCCTTTAGATTTGGCTTCAGGGAAACTAAAATGAAACAACTTTTACAACGTATCGTAATTTGTGATTAATATGAAGAAAATTTTTAAATGAAATGAAACAGCTTTGAAAGAATTACTGCACATTGCTCGTTTAAAGAAATCACGTTTATTCTAACATTTTATTTATAATTTCTCTCGATAATAAATATTCTTAATCACGATTGCAAAATAATCAAAGATCTAAAGTTTTTTGTCGCAATATTACTCTAAAACCTAATACATTGCGAACTTGTCAAAGCGTATATTTAAATAAACAAGCTTTTCATACAGTTTTGTATATATGTGCATGTTGCATTGCATTGGTAATGCATGTTACATTTGTGACTTCGGAATTCGATATTGAATTTGTTATTCTGTAGTCTGAAATTCCTTCTACATCTATAATATTTTATAATTAACACAATCAGAAAAATTGATTTGCCATTGTACCCTAAAGTCAGTAATAATACTGTGCAAATTTGTTACCACCATAATACGGCGTTAAATGAAACGCTCAACTGGATATGTACAGGGGGTCGACAAAATAATGGAAAAGTTTCTATTCTAATACACTTTTTCATATTTCTCAAGAAATAAGAAAAGAATCATTTTATATCTTCAGACGTGTTTAGATCACGCAATTTCTCATACTTCTCAATGAAGTTTAAAGCTTTTAGAGGTTTGAGGGACCGACAATAAATTACAAATGGAAAATAATGTTTTCGAATACCCTATTCCAAACAATGAAGATATAGACTTGTAACTTGTAACAATTATTTTGGTTATTATATGCAATAATTGCGCAAAATTTTATAAGCCTAGCTTAAATATTTATAGAAATATGAGCATTTTTATAAAAAGACTATTTTTTTGCCTCATGTTTTATCGCTATAACTTTAAAATTCAATATAACTTTATGTTCAATAAAATTAAGGAAAATGTTTCGAGCAATTTAAAATTAACTACAAAATTTTTGCTTTAAAATTTGAGAAAAAAAATCCTTTTTAAATTCTGTAATGTACCAGTCATTAAACTAGGTTCTTTATTCTGCCCATGCCCGGAAAAAATTTAACATTTTCTCTCATAATTTTGCATTGAATAGTCATTTGGCAAGTAATGAAAAATATCCGATTTGAATATTTTAAAAATTTTAAAAGTTTCAGGTAATTTTATAAATATCTTTTGTACTAGTTAAAAGAAAGCTCAAAATGATAACGGGATTTTTACAAATATTATTTTGTATCATAAGACAGAATTAAATAACAAATAATACCTTACAATAAGTGAAAAATACACCGAAATATGATTGTACAAGGAAAGAAAACATGTGAAAAAACGATGCTTTTATTGGAGATGAACCTCAACAATGCCGGTGTCATTTTTGATAAATCTTATATAATAGAGCAAAATCAATTTAGTGAAAAACCCCTTATTAGATTTAGCGATGTTTTAAAATGTATGAAAATTACTTAAATAATCGCATGAAACTTCTTACATTTTCAAGAAATTCAAATTGAACTCTTTTATTAGTTTCGGAATGCGATTTTCTACAAAATTAAGAAGAAAAAAAATTCAAATTTTTCCCAAGCATGTGCAGTATAAGAAAATAATTTAATGAGTCATATCTCTCACAGTTTTAAACAAATTTTTCGAAACATTTAAAGCAATAATTTTGTAATTAAATTTAAATTGCTTCAAACATTTTGATTAATTTTATTGAATATTTTTAAATTTATAGCAAAAAAGCGTATGACAAAAAAATTATTTTTTTGTAAAAATGTCCATAATTCCATAAATATCTAAGAAAGGTTTACAAAATTTTGTGCAATTCTTGAATATAATAATCAAAATAATTGTTAGAAGTTACAAATTTAATCCTTCATTTTTCGTCATAGGGTGTTCAAAAACACAATTTTCCGTTTGCAATTTATTGTCGGTCCCTCAAACCTCCAAAAACTTTGAACAGCATTGAAAAGTATAAGAAATCACATAACCGAAACATTTCTAAATTTATAAAATGATTCTCTTGAGTATTTCTCTGAGAAACATCAAAACTTGTGTTAGTATAGAAGTGTTTCCACTATTTTGTCTCATTCCTGTTATATCGTTGTTGAAACTAATAATTTCTAGAAGCTGCAATGGAAAGATATTCGTAATAGTATAAAAATGTCATTCGATTAAAAAATTATAAAGGTTGAAAAAGCGACGTGTTTCTAGCTCTCAAAAATAGGCGCTCATTCTCAAGACTCTCCAGATGTAAATAAGGAAAGGAAATCGGATTTAAAAAAAAAAACGTGAAATTGCAAAAGAAAATAATTACATGAGAATAAATATGGAAAACAAAACTTGAAAAACCACGGTAGCAGTGAGGCATAAATGGCAGCAGACTGCATTTTCACGAGCTATAAGTACAGTCTTCGTGTCTTCAAATAGGGTGTCGGCATTCATATGAATAAAACAAGAATCAATAGCAGCAAGATGAGCTTGATGTGAGAAAATTGATATGATAGAGGTAATGGAAAAAACCTCTTTTTGATTCCTTAAAAATCAACTTTTTCCCACCTTAATAATTTTTGAAGCTAATGAAGTTTTACTAAATAAAATTAATACTACCACCTTGAAGTTTTTATAATATTGTGTAATCGAGATTGAGAACTACAATAATGTGCTTCTTTAGCACTATATTAAGTGTGCAGCCAATTTGGAAGAAAAATGGTTCAACATGCACCAAAATTTCTAACAGCTCATAGCAAACAATAACCTCTAATTTATTATTTTTGTTATTAATAATTCATAAACAAAAATACTTCTAGTTCATAAAGTTATAATTTTGGGGAATTTATACTCAATCGTTATCTATATTTTAGACGAAATAATAGTTATAAACAAGATATTTTTTGAAACAAAACGTTTCCAAGGATTCATAAGACTTTCTTTTCTTTTAATCTTTTATCTCCACCCCATTATCAACAAGATATACTTCCTTATCACCAGAAAAACGGAAAAGGGGGTCTTTTACACCAAGAACTCAGCAACCCTTTCCCCTTCGTTCCATCATTAGAAAACGCCGCCTTTCCCCCAGACGATTTTAATCTGCATTTTCTTCGACGACGAACCAAGATGTGGAAGTTATCGATGCTCGTGTCTGCACTGATCGTTGTGGGGCTTTCCTGTCTTCGGGGATGCTGGGGGTCTTCCCGGCGTCTCCGGTATCAATTGGAACTGATGCGGAGTGAGCAGTTCCGAGATCGAGAAAGGATCGAAATTCTGGAAAAAAATTTGTCGCATGTCCGTGGGGAAAGAAATGTTCCAGATGCTGTACCGGCATGGCTTGGAGATATTCTAGAAGAATTAAATAGTGAGATTGGAGAAGTAGTCACCGAACTGCGAAAAAGAGAAAAAGTGGAGGCGATGTTGGAAGGACTTCAGGCTAGGCATGAACAAGGATTCGAACAATTACGACGGTTAGATGAATTGGTAAAAGTTATCCAAGAAGAACAAAAGAGTATTTCTCGCCGGGTATGTTTACTTTGGAAGTTTTAATGAGTTTAGGCAATTTCATTAATCATAATTTGTTTTAGTTATTTAATTGTTTCCAACATTATGATTTATTCAGAAATACAAGTTTCGGATTTATATGCTAGAAAGTTGGCTTGTGGAACTAATATTGCGTGAAATATTCAGAAATGAAATTAACCTACATTTATAATTTATGGAACGTTTTCTGATAACAGATTAAAGCATACATAGGATTTAGACAAAACATGACAATCAAAAATTGTGGATATTATTAAAAATGTTTTAAAAGAAAGAATTATAATTAAAATTAATCAGCGTTATTTAAAATTATTAAGTATAAAACTAAATTAAAATTATTAAGTAATTATAATTAGTACCAATTAAATATGGTTTTATAATAAGTGATAAAATTTTCATAAATGTGATTAAAATTTGGGAAATTTACCACGATACCTAATAGGGTGGCATAAAAAAAATTTATTCGGTTAAATTTATTTTTCTGTTTGAAATTGTTACTAATTTGAATTTCAATTTCGAATGGGAAAACTTCTCTACAAAAATTACCAAATGAATGTTTTAAATATCGATTATTTTGATTTTTGAAACTGGAATTCTGCTTATTTATTTATTTTTCTTCTTCCTTTTTTAAAAATTTAGAAATGTCATTACCATACAGTACTATAATTTTACCAGAATTTTTTCTCCCCGTGTGTACGTAATATAAATATTAAAATTAATATTACTTGGTATTGTACTATATTGTCAGAAAAATATTAAATCTCATTAAAAATACACACACGTAAGTGTAACGCATAATTAAGGAAAAACTTTATTATGAGCATTTTATTTAAATAAAGGGAATTTTTAATTATAAATAAATCTTTTAAAATTTATTTTTATTTAAAATTTGTACCGAGAATTTTATTTTTAACATTATTTACGATTATAAAATTTTCAAGTATAAAGTTTTTAATTGCTTTTAAAATTAAAACTGCAGTCACGCAAGAGCTTTAACTGTGAAAAATCATATTTTAATAACAATACAATTCAAAAGAATATTTAGAAATAAAACTGAATACCTATGACAAATTTTTAAAACTGCTGAAAAACATCTATTATTTAGAATTATGTTTCTTTCTGCCGAAGATTTGATTAAAAAATTCTATTTCTTTGAGGAATTAAATTCGATATAAAATCTTTAGTTTTATAATATATTCAAATCATAAATTCACTACATGATTTCTTTTCTGGATGTAAAAATAAAGAAATACGTTTTGTTTTTATATGAATGAGAATAATTAACTTGATTACTTTTCTGTCTCGAAAAATTTTTAACAAATTTTTAATTTTATATTTTCTTTTCATGTACTATATTCTTTTACTCAATTCTTTTTTGTTTAAAAATGTATCAATTATTGCTTGATTATTGTAATACTAATTAAAAATTAAAAATATTTTACTCTTTTAAACCTGTAAATTTTTCTCTGAATCGTTCCTTAAATTTTTAATACTCTATAGTTAATGAAACTCAACAGATAAACAAATTGTGTTTATCAGTCTGTTTTTTATTTCAACAGCCCTACTTAACTACGATAAACACATTAACAAATAATCATGTTATCATTACTTAAAAATTATATTTAGCCATGAAATAACATTTCAGTGTTAAGAACGAAGTAAATTCATTGTGTACTTAATACGAAATAAGAATGAATCATCTGTATTTCCATTTACTTTAAAAACCATGTGACCTATAAAAACGCACTTCCTGACTCTTATTTAGAGGGGGAAATTTAGGGGATTTTCGAAAAAAATAGTTAAGAAGATCACCTATTCAGTTTCATTGAAAAATTGGTTTTAGAAAAAATATAGTTTCTTATTTATATTGCATGCAATTGCATGTTTCTTTTTTCAGTATCTCTATATAACATAAAAAGAAAATGGTCTAAAATTGCTCTTTCTCATTGTTTTGGGCGTAGTATTATTGGCCAAAAAATCACATGGTATTAGTTCTTTTATTAACAAAGAAAATACTTCAATTTTCTTTGGAAGTCATCAGAAAAATTAATATGTAGCATACATGTTTGATAATTTTTCTTTCATATAAAAAGGTATCTACCTTTAATATTTTTTAATTCCTTTTTAATGCCATTACCTTCTATTTTCATGCTTTTCTACTTGAGTATTATAATAAAGGCAGATAAAGGATTAAAACTGAAAGTAGTGTTCTTACATTATAGAGTAATCCTATAATATTAAGGAATAATAAGTTATATGTTGTATTTAGATACGTAAGCTGTTTTTACATCTGCAGTAACTCTTATGTAAAACTATCCAGATTTAAAATAATAAATGACAAAAAAAAATTGAAATATTTTTTCGTATTCTTTGAGGAAAAAATATATATCGAGTTTTTAGAGTAAGCAAATGAGTTTTTATTGTAACCGAGCAAAGTGTTTAAGTTCACATATAATTCCAATAGAATCAGGAACATTATTTGTAGAACCAAATCTGTGTAACCGCAACATAATCATTCAAATGAATACTTTTTAATTTTGATTTAAAAATTTGTTTATCGTCAATAAATAAAAGAGAAAATTATAGCAATTGTGGAGTTCGGTGAGCGAAGCGAGTAGATAGAAAGGCTCCCTAGACTGAATATGGTCAAAAAAGTGCTATCAAAATGTGAAAATGGTGAAATTTACCGAAAGTGCTTATGGCTCTATGGGAACACCAAAAGGCTTGGCAATTTTTATCGAAGTGTTTTAGTAAAAATAACAATAAAATAACATTTTATAATATGTGATAAAATTCAGTAGTTTTATTGTAATACCCTAGAGCATGGCATAAAAAGTATTCACTCTGTTAAATTTACTTTTCAGTTTTGTGTTTTTAATAAATGTGTGAATAAGAACTGAAATTTAGAAAATCAAATTTTCCTTAAAACAGTTAAGGAAAAATTACTAAAAGAGTGGTTTAAATATCGTATATTTTAGTTTTATAACCAGAATTAGTTTTTTTTCTTCAGAAATGTCATTAATACAAGTATAGCAATTTTACCAGAATTTTTTCCTAGACTCTTTAGAGTGTCGAAAATAGTTTTTACTAAATTTTGTACAGAACTGTAGACTAATGAATGAAGAATTTTAAAACATCATAACCTGAATATCGGATTATAAACAATTTATAATATTATGATGTATAATGATCAATAAGCTGAATTTAAACAAATTTGTTGATTTATTTCTGTAACCAAAATAGTGTTTTAAAATGTGTTGAATATTTATAATGTAGTTAATATTTTTCTAAAGCAATTTTAGAAAATTTTTCCAATTACATCTTGTAACCTATGCTTTCACCTTAATTGATACTATGTTATAGGAATTATATCTAACATATTAAATACTAACGCTTAGTAAATGAATGGAACAAACTACATAATAGAGTTGATCTGTAAATTCCAGTAAATATTTTTGTTTATTGATATTAAAATTTGTTAATTTATTTTAAGGTGCCAAGTTAAAGCCTTCAAACAACATAAAAATCTTGGCTGAAAAATTCGTAAAAATTCTTAGCTTCAATAAATTGTAGCCTGTATATGCATATGCTTCAAATTTTTTTTTAATTTCATATGTTTTGCAATAGTGTTTTTTTTTGCAAATTAAAAATAAAAAGTAACATTTAAAGATATATATTTGGATTCTGATTGATTTTCTTTAGGATTTCTTTACAGTTTTTTATTATTTCATTAAATATTAAGAGTTTTATGCATTAAATGTTTTATGTATGGCAGCTAATGTTCTCTCGAAAAAAATTAAGAATATTTATCATTAGTTATTATTGAATTTAAAGATCGGAGTATTTGTAAGCTTTTATTTACTGCAGCGAATGAAGAGTTTAATAATATCAGTACATTGTAAAAAATGCCAAATCAAATTACGGAATTAAGTACCAGCACATTGGTAAACTCCTTTTTACGGTGAAATGTTATACCATAATTTTTACAGTAATATTTATTTAATTAGAGTGATTCATTGATTTTACTGTAATTAAAAATTAAGGTATATCGGATTTTTTACTCAGTAACATGTTCCGATAAAATAGGATTTTACGGTGAAAAGTACCGCCACCCTGAGTGTCGGCACTTTTTACTGTAATTTGATCAGGAATTGTTTTCTGTGCAGAATAGTTTCAGTTGGTTACCACGAATCACTCCTTAGAAGGAGTTTTATAAAAAAAATTTTAGAAAAAAAAATTAAAATTCGCAGAATTTAAAAATTTGTAAAATGGGAAAAAAGTTATGATCAAAACTTTCAGAATTCGTTAAAAGTTTTCATGTTTATGGCTCTATGGGAATACTGAAAGGTTCGGTAATTTTTATCAAAGCGCTTTGGAAATAATTTTGGTAAAATTAACAATAAAATATAATTTTATGATGCTTGATTAAATTTGGTAAATGTAGTAAGAATTTGGTAATTATATCATGATACCCTAGAGTAAGGCATAAAAACCATTTCTTTAAATACATTTACTTTTCAGTTTTAAATATGTGATAATGAGAACTATAATTTTAAAAACTAAAATTTTCGGTAATTACCATATAAACGGAAAAATTACTAAATGAATGGCTTAAATACTATATATTTTGGCTTTTTAACCAGTATTATATTTATTATTATCATAAGAAATGTCATTACCATACAGTATAGTAGCTTTATACGAATTTATTTTCTTCGTGTATTACGCGGCATGATAGTACTGCTCTTGTCTAACTCATGAGTGCCAAAATTTATTACAATTAAGCAATTCTCAGCATTAATTTTGCTTTCATCATGTAATTTATTATTCTTGTTTTTTCATTTACCGTATATTTTAAATTAGTGTTATAAAAACATGTTTTAAAATCGTAACTCGCAACAAAATTAAACATGTAGTTTCAGATAATATTAGAGGCACCAATTTCATGAATAAATGGATCTTTAGTCATAAGAAAGACCCATCCACACAAACTTTTCCTTCTATCATTATAGATATATACAATATATTGTAATTAATTCCATGATAAAAAATGTATTTTTCAGGCAATGCTGTGTAATGAAACTGCATTAAAAACTGAAGAAGTGGTGGCAGTAAGTTTAATTCTTTTTTGTAAAAAAACAAATATTTCTCACTGAATTTAATTTGAGTGTTTTAATCTCTTTATTCTATAGACTAGTTAAATAAAATTATCAGATGACTCGAAAATGACCGTTACATGTCGAAATGAGAAATCAATTTAAGAGAAACGGAAGAATACGATATGCTGCGTTCTGCTATATTAACTAGTTATTTTTTCCTCTTGAGACCCAAGCTTCAAATAATAGTTGAAAATGCAATTTTGACTTAGAAATGTGTAGCTTTGAAGACAAAAACTCATAAATGTGGTAAAAATTGCTTTTAATGTTTCTTAAATTATATATATATTGATCAGTGCAATAGCTAAAGTTGCATCTTTATTCCAGTGGTATTTTTTACTAAGCAGAAGGCTAAGTAAATTTTATCTTTTGTATTCTTAGTGCATTTTTAAGGATTAGTTACTTCAAAAAATATATATACATACATAATATGCATAGTCAAATATACTACGACATATTCTCCATCACGGAGAGAATTAGGAGCTTTTAAAAGACAGATGCTTTAACATAGATAGCCAACAAAAGAATTGCCTATCTGCATATAGTTGTGTGATTTAATATTGTCTGATATGCCGAAATCTGTGAAATTTCATCCATGGCCTAAAATTCTGTTTATTTAATATTATTTAATCAATATTTTTTAATTGATTTTCCATTTTCTATTATTACTTAATCAATTTCTTCTTATTAGAAAATCTCATTTTTAACTAATCTTTCTAATTTTGAGTTACAGAAAAAAAGTAAGAGGTGTACTTAAATAAGTTCAAATATAAATTATATACATATAAATTATATTCATATATACATATACATATAAATTATATGCATATATATATATAAATTATATACATATATACATTGAACTGCATAAATATATACATAAGCTCGAAATATAGAGAAAACATGGAAAAAATTACAGACTAATGAAATATTTATTGTTTTGAATGCTTTTATTAAATATTGATATTTTGATACTTTTCCATTTTGCCGGTGCAGGCGAAAAGCCGCTAATGCAAACTTACTATTTTTCTCTTTTTTTTAAAATCATATAAATAGATAAAATAGGCCGAAATTACTTGCGCCGGTAAAATGAAAAGGTACCTTTATTTGTATAACCGCCTTCCTCATTATTAAAATACATTCTTTTTAGAATTCAATTGATCCATGGAAAGAAGAAGGCTCTGGAGACTTAGAGGAAGCTTTTTTGATACCAACACGTATAAAGAAAATTTTAATAAGATTTTATATGTTGTTCTATGTGCATTTTAAAATCATTGTTTGAATCATATCATTTTAATGTCTCAACTAATTACATGCGATTACGAGCAATTAAAAGTCCAAAAATAGTATTTCTGTTACTTATAGAAAAATAAAAGTCTGCCGCTTTAGAAATGGGTTAGAGCAAGAAGCATACGAGAGGTGATTTTCATTACTTTTGCATTAGCATGCCCACAACAATGCTGCGTATTCTAATAAAAACTTATAACGATTCGACTCCTGTATGCCTCTTGCTTCCTTTTCGCTCCCTTTAGTAGTATTCAATTCGCCTAAATCATTATAATTTTAAATTAAATTGAATTGAATTAAATAATAAGAGTTTTATTTTGAGTAGTTCAGGGTGACATCAGAATTTTTATTATCATAAAATGCCTTCAAGAAATGTGGATATTTTACGACCGATACCGATTTTATCAATTTAACTTATTTGAAAAATTTGTAAATTTTCAAACCAAAATAAAATTTAACAACACTGGCGTATCCAATAATTCGGTTCAGAGACGTATTAGGTATATATTCATGCAATATTATTTAATTTAATTATCATTATCGATAACAACCACGACAATATCACATTCAATGCTTGTAGCCTTTGTTAATGATCGCGATATTATCATTAGCAATGATTAGATGTTGTGTATCGAATGGTGTATTCGATATCGATGCTATAAGACTTTTTCCGATTTATCATGAAAGTACATTTAAATATATTGTTATCGTAGTGATTAAAGAAACTCAATCTTTAATGATATATAGCCCACGAAGATTTGTGTCATAATCTTTCAATCTGGAGAAATTCTTCATCTAATGAGAATTTAAATCCCACCGAATTTTTAATTTATTATCGATGAATTAGCTCAAAAGCATCTTAGATAAGACAGATTTAAACTATAAACACAAAAGTTAAAATTAAAAATCAGAAAAGAACCGGTGAATATAGTTATATTTTTAAAGCAGTAAAACATATAAAAGGACTTTTTTGGTTGAAAATTATTTTATATTACTAAGTTGTAATTAGTAGAAACAAAACTTTGAATTTAATAAGTTTTTTAGAATTTTTTTAATTAAACAATTTTATGATAATAAACTTTGGATTCCTATGCAAAACACAACTTGTGCAATTCAATCCCCTTCAGCTTTCTAATTTGAATATCCATATAGTCGATCCTTTTAGCGACGTTGTACGATGAATCAATATTGTAGTTCATAGATTTCAAAACAATTTTAAACATTTATAACTCAATTTTCAAAATGTGTGATATCTTATGCTCAAATTATTTCTCAGAAACGTCGCCAAGTCTTAAGAAAACTGAAGATAATGTTAAAATATATCTTGATAAAGCTGTTCAAGAATTTAAAAGTCAACAAAATCTTGAGCTGCAACGACTGGAGCAACGTATGGATCATAATCTCCTTTCAATCAAAGAGGCAATAAATAAGGTACATATATATCCAAACTAACACTGTAAAAACTGTGGGGTAATATCTCTCCGAATATAATGTTGATCAACTTAAAAAATATGGTGTGTAGAAACACTTTTTAGTTAATACTAAACTCAGCATTCATACATAATTTAAAGAGTGCAATTTAAATCTACGCACCTAAGATTAAAAAATCTTACTTCAAACTCTCGCACTTTCACACCATACGAGAATCATTTTTACTTGCAAAAATACCAATGTTGGAGAACTTTGAATATCAAAAATTCATGAAACGTCAAGTGGAATATCGCCAGCAGTTCGTTTGCAATCTAGAATGAGAGTCTGTTGTTTTCTACACTGTGATAACTAAACACAAAACAAAGCAACAGAAACAAAAGTTCGCCTTCAAATATGTATGTATGTTTTCAGTTAAGTAATATAGAAGATTTTATTTTAATTTTCGAATCTCTGGGAACAGTATTAAATGATTTTATAAAGTATAATTTTTAACCGCTTCCGTTCTGTTAAGCCTAGTTCGAATTCATCTTAATATTCTCTTTGTACAACCCGTATATTTGATTTACAAATTACTTTTATTTTAAGAAGTAATGCATCGATTCATCCTAATTTTATAATTTTTACTTTTCATTGTATTGTCAATGTAGCTTTACTGACTCTTCTTATCATATCTTACAGTAATTATAAATTTAAGTGTTAAAAAATGGTGACGGCTACTTTGCACCAAGTAGTGCAAAAGAACATCGCCTAGTTAAACGCTAGATCTAAGAGTAATATATGGTGATTAACTACACCATTTTTGGCATTAGGATACATTTTAATTTTCTACAAAGAAAAAAAATTACGCTTGGTATTTGTTTTGAAAAAAACCCATGTGTATTGTAGATTTTTTTTGCTATCATAGGCTAGCATACTTTTATAGTTGTCATAGGCTAGAAAATAAAATTACTGTAGCTAATTTCTATAAAAGTTAAAAAAAGCTATATATAATCTTTTAGTTTTTAATTTGACATATAATTTTTTTTCTCAAATTACATTTAACTGTAGCGATAATATAATATTTTAAAATATTATGATTTTTCGTTCATAATTTCTTACAATAAAACCGAAAGAAGAAGTGTTTTTCGTCAAAAAAGTTGTCTAGAATCGAATTGGATTTTTTTAAAAAAGACAATGGTTTTTGAGACTTAAAAATATTCTTTTCAGTTGTTATTTTTCAAAGGTACAGTTTTTTTCTCCTGCGAATGAAACATTTTCTTTCATTAGGCAAAATATGAATAATTCATAATGTTTTCTGAGAAATAATAATAATAAAAATCTTGGAGCGAAAAAAGATCATATGCTATGAAAAAGAATGTATAATTTCATTACTGTTGAGTCTAAGCTCATTCTAAACATGATTTTTTTACTTAGTTAGGTGCTAACATATCCCTCTTTCAATATAAAAAAACAATTGCTTGAAACGATTAAGAAAGCTTTAGTTGATAATAGAATAGGACGAATTTCAAACGAAAAATACTTAAACACTAAAACTATTCGAAATGTTTGAAGTAAAATGAAGGATTTTAAAACATCTAAAAACAGTAACACATATTTTGAATTACTTTGTCCGATATTTCTAAGTAGCCTCACGTATAGTATAGGGCAAAATTAGAAAATTCTGCCAATGGTCAGTTGTAGAGTTTTAAACAAGGGCCATGTCTTAAAATATGTTGCTACTTTTTTTGAAAACTGTAAGTTTTAGTTGATTAAAAAACTGTTGATATTAAAAATACAAGACATTTCTTTTAAAGCATTTCTCAAACTATGGTGATTATTACAATAAGATTCATTTCCAAAATGAAGAAAAATTTCAAGAAAAAAGCTTCAGAATGTTATAAAATATTCATTATTATTCTACAGTTATTTTATCTGCATGGGAAATATGGCTCCAATAGTTTGGTCAGGAGAGGGCTCCAAAGTTTTGACCCCTTAAAGTTAATTTAACTTTTTGCGTATTTTGCCATATCTTGAGACCTTTTTAAGCAAATTTAAAAATTTTTGCACACAATTATAAAATTCGTTTATTCGAAGATAAGTAAGAATAAATGTTAGTAAATATTTGTTTTTATAATTTTATTTAAAAATGGTCAAAAAGATTTTGAATCGTAAGGTATACAATATTTGCATAATTTAAAGAAGATAATTTTAAAAATACAAAATTTGAGCTAAATCGGTTGAATAGTTTCTGATAAATTGAATTTCAAACTATAGTCAGTTGTTTAAAATTTGATTTCTCAGGAACTATTCAACTTATGTCGCTCAAATTTTGCATTTTACCATGAAAATTACGCGCTTTAAAATGATGTAAAAAATTGTATACCTTACAATTCAAATTTTTTCCGACTTTTTAATAACATAATAAAAATAATAAATACTTACTAAAATGTATTTTTTGCATGGAATTATCTTTGGATGAAAGAACTTTATAACTGTGTGCAAATGTTTTCAATTCGTTTAAAAAGTTATCGAGATACACAAACGAGTTGAACATGAATACACAAAAAGTAAAATTGACATTAAGCTGTTCAAACTTTGAATCGCTCTCCTGATCAAATTATTGGAGCCGTATTTCCCAGATTTAGTAGTCAAAAATCTAACTCCGTTGAAAAAAAGGTATGATTTATTGAAAGAAAACACATTTTTGCGTTTGTTTTCGTAACTTGAAATATCGTCTGCACTTATTAATAATCATGTTTGAGGTCACCTCCTAGAGTTATTAGAATTGAGTCCTGGAACGTGAAGATCCGATCATTAGATCAAACGTTATTCAGGGTGGTCAGTTCTTCGAGCACTGTTTGTTGAATAATACTCGTGTAAATTGAATACACGGGCTGTAAACGGGTTTAAGGTTAACAATAAATGCTCGGTTATGATAATATTGCTCGTCGCGGTAACAGTTTCAGACGTATAACAACAAATGTATGATGGTCAAGGTTCGAACTTGTATTGTTAGGTTTTCGCTCAAATAACAAAATGATCGAATGAGAACCTTTTTTAATTATAAGCAGATTTCTGTAAATTTATATTACGGAACATTCTCCAGTTGTAGCTTGGAGCTCTGTAGACATCACATCTTTACATCTGTATATTTACACTCGTGCAACTCAAGGTCACTCTGGGTTTGTTTTATTTGAAGGCCTTCTTTGTTCATCAAAATCTATTTGCTTTCTCATACTGTAAGAGCACGGGTGCTCATTTTGAGATATCAGTATTCCTCAGATGCCCCACATTGGGGAGAGGCGGGGTTAATTTAATTCGATTTAATTATAAGCAAATTTTCCAGGGACTTCTTAAATTGCTGTAATTGTTGCCTTGTTTAATTTTGTCAGAAAAAATGAGTAATTCAACTGAGCTGTACAACGGTTAGTACACACTAACCGTTGTACAGCTCTACAGTCCTAGCTCTGTACTAATCGTTGTACAGCTATGTAGTCAAAGGTTAGAACACTCTAACCGTTGACTACACAGTCAACTTCAGCGAACTAATTATAAGTCGTTTGGTATATTGTTTAATATTGAAAATAATTGTTTTCAATTTTCAGTCAAAATCAGGACGAAATGAGCTGATTGAAGAATGTCACAAATTAATAACAAATATGACAGATGAATTCCATTCTTCAATCACTCAAATGAAAAACGTCTCGGATAGTCTATCAAATGTTTGGAAGGAAGTTTCACAAGTGGAATTCAACGCAGCGCAGTACCAAGCAGCTCTCGACGTGCTGGAACGTGACTGGGCAGCAGACAACAAGAAAATCTTAGATTTACAGGTAATTGACATGAAAAACAATTGTTTAAAAAATTTAAAACAATGGGAAAATCAGGTATTTTAACAATAACAGGTTAAAAGCAGAGAAACAGGTTTGAAACGTATGGAAAATATTGTGATTAATGGCGCATATTCTTGTCATTATAACAATTTGTGCTGATGTCTTGCGAGAAGAATTCAAGTGAAATGCACTATGTAAATGTAAAAAACTAAGCTTCTTTTAAAGGCGGCTGTAAAATCAAACCATTAAATTAGTTTTACAGAAAATTTTGATGCATTTTATATACATTGGATTCATATAGATTAAATATGAAATACAATTTATCCATTTTGTTTGATTGTTTCTTACAGTAATGCATTCAAAAGAATATGTTTTGATGCCCCAGACACAGGTAATCTGGGTATAGGGTAAACCAACCAGTGAAGGAACACTACCTAGTGAAGGAACATTTCATATATATTGATTAAAAATAAGAATTTGAAAGTTTTTCTTTAGATTGATTGGTAACAATAGCTTACTGCCAAACAATAGGAAGTCATCTAGCAATGTTTTGGATTACCTGGTCAAATAGACTTCTCTGGAAAAATTTTTGAATTTGTTATTATCTCTGCAACACCTTGTTTCTTTGAAAAAATTATAAGGTGAGTGTTTGTATTTATATGTTTGAAGTGGAATTAATTGCATGTAATAGTTTTATTTTTCTCACTGTGAAAAAGAGAATTCAAAATATAGTTATTGAAGTTACGTTTTATTTTTTTTAAGCATCATAGCATAATAAAGTACTGAGATAAGGGGGTGTTTATTCACTGGATCACCAAACGATGAAAAACCAGTGAAGGAACAAGTGTTCCTTTACTGGTTTTTTTTCTAAGTTAATGAAAATAAAAGATAAATTTTAATTTTCTTGTACCTTTAGTGATGTTCCGCATCAAAAGTATGCAAAAACTACGAAAAACAACTTCTAACCAGTGAGGAAACAGGCATATTCCTTTACTGGGCATAGATTTCCCAGTGAATGAATTGTATGTGTTAATATGCTGACACTTTAATTTTCAATTCATGATTACAAAAGGAAGTTAACATTTTCCAAGCATTTATATGTTATAATTTCAAGAATAGGCTTGTTTTTAAATACTTGTATGGCTTATAAATTCATAAAGAGCATTAAAAAATAACCAAAATTAAGTGTTCCTTTACTGGGTGTTCATTCACTGGTAAGAGCTGTTCCTTCACTTGGTCTTCTTACTACTTGTTATTTGAACCTCCAAAACTTTAAAACAATATTATGTAAGTTCTCTACAATTTTTTTACATAATTTGCAATTAGTAACAAATATGTTGACACTGTCATTTAACTAAAATTACGAATTTTGAAATTAATATGATTTTTTAAAAGGCAAGCGAAGCTTAAGTGTTCCTTCACTGGTTAGTTTACCCTAGTTCTAAATTTACTAAAATTGCACTAAATAACCTATGTAAATATTATTTTAGAAATAGAAATACTCCGAAATAAATCTACCCTTATTTTATTTAAAAAATAAATAGTAAAAAATATTTTTTCCGTATTATTAAATTAAAGAGTTAATGGCTAACAAAATTAGATTTTTACTTCGGATACAGTATATTTCGTTTAATTTAATACAATTTCCTCCAAAAGCAAAAAAAAACTGTATTTGCTTTGGTTTGCTTGAAGTATAAATTAGAGTGTAAAAATTTATATCTAGAGTGGTAACTTAAAGTGCTTTTACTATTCATAGCAGATAAGTATTTTTATGCAATTTTTTTTGTTTTTCATGAGAAAACTACCATATGAAGGCAGAAATTAAAACTCATCTATACCTTTAAATATAGACACTAAGTTCGTTATGCTATTTCGGAAATTTTAACTGTATAATATGTCTGTAATATTGCTATCCCCTCATCTTTTTTCTCTTTTATAAATGAAATTTGAAACAAATTTTTTTTTCAGTGTTAAAATTACTATGTAGGGCTGTAATCAAATAAATAAATCATTTTTTTGACTATTTCATTATAAAATATGGATCATTAGATTCCTACTAAATAATAACGTGTGTTCTTAATGGCTTAGGGAAAAAGGTTTAATAAATAAAACCAATGATTAATTTAAAATGAACCATTAAGAATTAATTTAGAAGAAACAATTACAAATTACTAGAATAACAATATCCTGTAAACGGATACGTATCATCTTAATTCGAAACATGGCCAAAAGTATAATTTAAAAAAATTTGCGTTGTCGCAATAACCTGAAAGAAAAATAAATAGCTGAAAAGGAATGGATTGCCTAGAGTTAAAAAACACATGAGACAGATAAAACAAAAATACAGAAATTTGTAAACTCACCACATTTTATTTGTTAGACAGCACTCTTTTTTTTAAAAAAATTAAAAAACGTATAAATGCAAAACATCACTATCTACAGCCACACAGGCCACAAATTAAAAATTATAGAACAATTTTATAGATGTAAATGGATTTGTATCATGCTCAAAAAATCGTCATCAATTTCTTCTAAAAATCAGACTCCACGCCTCCCTGATGCACAGACGTACATCAGGGGGCCCACAAAGAAATCGAATGAATCTTCTCGAAAAAGGGGGAAAAGGAGTCTCTCACTCCCACGTTGCCATTACTTTTTGTTGAATACAGTTGCACTTCGGAAACTCAGCTGACAGGTGTCGCTGCGGGAAAAGTTCACCTTAATCCCATGGCGTTTCAAAAGCTGCTCCTCGAGATAATCTGCTCCTATAGGATCAGTCCATGCAATTTCTTCCTTGTACAAAGCAATACTAAAAGTCTTATATTTTTGCAACCTATGTCTTTTCTTAAAGACATTTAAATTGTTAAACAGCGTTTAACACTAAAGCTAACACTGAAGTAAAAAAACCCCTATCATACAACACTTATAGCTAAACCTAACCATATATCCTCTTCACCCCTCCTCAGAAAACGATACATATAGTAAATAGAATTTTGAAATTTATTCTTCAATTTCTATGCAAATCTATTCTTTAGATGTCCCTCTACCAGTTTGAACTAAAACTAACATTTTTTGCCTAGTTTTTAAGTATATTAGAAAAAAGTTCATCAACAGCTGAAACTAGCATACTGTATAGGTTTATCATGAACAAATAGTTTGTAAACATTTAATTTTTTATCAGTTTCTGAGACTGGAATAAAAATGCTTGTCGCAATCTTAGTAAATGTCTATAAAATACTAAACTAATTATCTCAATTTAAGAGGAGAAAATAGATGTTTTTTAACATGTATCCACTTCACCCTATGTACCCATTCCCCCCCCCTGACCATACCTATCTTTTCGTCTATATTTTGAATATTTGTTAAAAATATAGTCTTTAATTGGAAAAATAAAAATCCAGTAAAAAAAAGAGGATAACATCAAAATTTCAGATTAACTTTAGAGATTAATTTGTGCAAAAGTGGAACTGAAATATAATAAATAGAAAAACGTGCATTCTCGATATTGCCTTTAAGGGCTTTTCTTAAGCAAATAAAGTCGACTTTGACAATTTTTAATTTTATCTTGACTCTGATTAATCAAATAATTATTTTTACTCTTGAGTCGAATCCAAAATAAGACACATTAAAACACATAGATATTTACTAATTTGATTAACCGAAAGACAAAACAAATTATATCCTGATGATCAATGATAAAATTGCCAATTTTACTTAACCATAGATTTTTTAATGCATTTTCATGTTTATAACTATTCAAAATGTCTTAGATTTGTTTCGCAGTTTTGCTTTGATGAAAAAAAAAAACAAATTAAAGACATATTAAAATAAACACTTATTTGGTGATTGTTTAATCGAAAAAAAAGAAAGAAATTACATATTAATGATGAAACTGAAAAATTAATTAACCATACAATTTTAAGTATTTTTGTGTTCATAACTGTTTAATGTGCCTTAGATTTCTTTCGTATAGTTTTCCTTTGGGGAGAAAACAAATCTAAAATATATTAAAACAAACACTAATTTGCTGATTGTTGTATCGAGAAGCAAAATTAGCTATGATAGTGTTAAATTAATTTTATCATAAATAATTTTGAGGTATTTTTTGTTCAAATGGTTTTTAAAGCTATTTAATTAAAAAATGTGTTAAATATCTTAATTAAAATATCTAATCATTGGTTTTTATTTATTAAGTATCTATTAATGTTTTCATAATGAAATTTTTTATAAATTCTTCATGCTCTGTTTTGACAATTGATAAACAAGTTGAAAGTTTGCTCATTTGTTTTCGCGAATAGCAGAAAATTCTGCAAAATGCACTCTAAAATAAGATAATGATGGGTCTGATTCAGAATCTAGACTGTCAACACATAGTTTCGATTCCCTCAGATTCAGATTAGATAAAGATTGAAATCAAGCAATGCAAAATCACAAGGCTTCTCAAATTTAGTTTATTCTACGGAAAATGTTGCATAATGCAAAAGCTTTTTTTTTACTGCAACTTCAGTTTTTAAGTCAAGATTTCTTTGTTTTTGCAAGAACAGTTACTTTCAAATGAGTTTAGTTATTCCGAATGCGTATTAAAATCTGTTTTTTCTCCTTTACTATGATAATAAACGAAGAGTTGAGACAGTAGATTTAGTCATAAAAGGTGTGTTTAGGTATAGTAAAGTGGATATGTGCTAATTAATGAATTTGCTTGGTGATAAAAATTTCAGAAGTTAGCGTTTAAATGTTTTAAAATAGTGAGAGACGAAGGGAATTTAAATAAAAGTGAGGATCACTAATTTTGTACGAAAAGGCAAGTAGTGTATATTAATATTGAACAATCAATGCTTAAGACAACGCAAATAAAGGTACCTTGTGAAAATCAGTTTTTTTACTGAAACTATTTTTTCACATCACAGTATATGAAATTGTCCTAAAATTTTACAAAAGTATTTTTTTTAGCATTACTGCTCACAAAGTGCAAATATGCACTAAACCACAGATGCTTTAAAATTTATAATTCTCTTATTTGACATACCGCGTACTGATTTTTGAGGTATAAACGAACACTCTTAATTTTTTAATAATATGACACTGTTCGTGATTTCAGGCAATGGCCATTTTAGTGTGTCTAGACACTGTTGTAATGATATATAACTCCATTCTTTTTTAAAATTAATAGGTAGTTCTTGACTTAAATGTGTATCGCTCCAAAATTTGACTGACAAATTCAGAAGAGTGGTAAAAAGTAACAAGTGGTTGAAAACTTACTATTGAATATAGAGTCACATATCACGTTCAGATGGTGAAGATCCCTAAAAACGATGGATCCGTTGCATGACCTTCACTCTCATCGGATCTCAATTAAAGCGTTTTTTTCCAACGGGGTCACCTTAAATCACTAGTATTTGTTATACTATAGAAATACGCCAAATGATCTCATAATGTGGATTGCCGTCGTTTTGACAGGCATCAGCAGCACATTTGACATCTTTGAGTCGGGGAATCCTTATAGATTGTGCAATGAAGTCAGTGGGTATCACTTCCCAATTTGATCAATAATTAATCAAATAAATCTTTTCTTTTTAAAATTGGGAAGTTTTTATTATATTTAGTATTAATATTCCAGCATGACCTCAAAATCTGCATGGGAGTTTTGTAGATTTCACCTTCTCAGTTTGCGAACAAAAATTCTACACTCAATAACTGTGGTATAATATTACTTCGGATTCGATGTTGAACAACTCTAAAAGTTGTGCGAAGGAGCAGCTTTTTTAAAGTTAACGCCAATCGAGCGTCCTTCATATAAACTCATGTTTGTGAAAATTGCAACACCATGAAGGACTTTTGCGAGTGAGATGAAATTTTCAAGAAACGCAAAGTAGTGGTCAATATGCAAATGTTTAGAATTTCAGATCCGTAGCGCATGCGTATGCTGAGCAGCGCCCTCTGAACGGCGGATGGATCCGAATAAATAGACGGCTGTAGCGAGGCGTGTATGGTTATCGGTGGTTATCTGCTTGTGGTAAACGTTAGCTCTGTCGTTACTTACGTCTCTTCGACGAAAGAGAGCGAGATTTCAACAACGTACGGAGTTTGAACGGGGAGAATCATCGGCCTTCGTGAGGCTGGATTGTCTTATCGTGCAGTAGCCGCTCGTGTGCAGCGTAACAGCAACACAGTGATGCGTGTTCGGAAGCAGTGGACGGACGAGTGTTAGACAACTCGGAAATTTGGGAGTGGACCTCGAAATGTCACGTCAGCTCGCGATGATAGACACCTGGTCCGCATGGCGTTGACGGACCGTACGGCACCCTCTAGACAACTGGCAGCACAGTGGTCAATAGCTGCAGGTGTTTTATTGTGTGCTTCATCAATTCGTTGACGTCTGCTGCATCGTGGACTGTGCGCAAGGACTCTTTAATACAGGATCCCCCTCACGCTAAGGCATCACCGCCTGCGGCTACAATGGGCCAACCAGCATAGGGACTGGCTTGCTGATTGGCAGCGTGTCGTGTTTTCTGACGAATCCCGCTTTAATTTGTGGTACCATGATGGCCGTATTCGTGTCAGATGCCATGCCCTTGAACGCCACCTTCCGGAGTGCGTTATCGAACGCCACAGTGGACGAAGCCCGGAGTTATGGTCTGGGGTGCCATAGCATATCATGGACGATCTCAATTGTTACTAATTCTGGGTAATCTGTACATCAGTGAGTACAACAGCAATCGGTACATCAGTGAAGTTCTACAGCTCCAAGCTGTTCCATTCCTTCAAGCCTTGCCCGGCGCTGTATTTCAACAGGATAATGCCCGCCCTCATATTGCTAGGACTGTTCAATCCTTTTTTTGCATCGCGGCTGGTACAGCTTCTTCCTTGGCCTGCGTATTCCTTGGATATGTCGCTGATTGAAAATGTGTAGGATTTCGTTGGTCGGTGTCTCGCTCGTGATCCTCGTCCTGTTGCTTCTACAGACGAACTTTGGGTACGCATACAAATAATATGGAATGCCCTTCCTCAGACAGACATTCAAAATTTGCTTGACTCCATGCCACGTCGTGTAGCAGCACTTATTGCGGAGCGTGGTGGCTACACAAAATACTGATTTTGATCTCTTGTTATTATTTATTTGCTTTGAAAGTTTAATCATTTATTTGTACCATGACCACTCAACTGTGTATTAAATTTCATTTAATTATGACGATTTCTTCATGGTGTTGCAACTTTCACAAACATGAGTTTAGAATTTAAAGGGTGTATGGAAAGACTTAACACCGAAAATGAAGTTTACACTAAGAATCACTCGCCTTTGCGCCATAGGTTAATTATTTTTGCTTCCGAAAATTCTAATGTTGGCGCGTTTTGATTTCTTCTATAATTGCTTACAATCTTGTTTGCGGCTGTCTTCAATGTTGCTTTTTATTTGCGGGAAATAAAGTTTGCTGTTAAAATTATGTATGCTTTTAATTAAGTAATAAGGATAATTATTTTTTAAATTTTTAAGTCTCTGTATAATTTATAATTATAATTTTATAATGAATAATTTCTATCCACTCTTTCTCTGTTAAGTTTTGTTCGAATTCATCTAATTATTATCTTTGCTATGTGTATGCTTGATTTACTAACTCATCTTATTTTAAGAATTAGTATATTTATGCAACCTAAATTACTGATTCTTACTTTATATTGTCTCACAAAAAGCAACTTTACTAATTCTTATGTGTATCATATCTTACTGCAATTAAAAAGTTTTTTGTTACTAAATAACAAACGTGGTGATTGGTGATAGGCTACTTTACACTAACTGTAAAAGAACATTCTAGGTGCTTTCTTCATAGCGAAAGTTACTAACATTAGATTTTGATTTAGTAGAACACCAATTTGAAGTAATTTAATTGTCACCATTTTTGATATTCTGATACATTAAATGTTTTTGCAGTGTATGGTAAGTTTTGTCTCTTACTTATTCCTTTCATTGCACTTCTGAATATAACAATTGAATTTCGAAACATTATGTATATGAAATGACAGAAAAGTGTAGTTATTTTTCTATAATAGTTTACATTGTAATATTGAATTTGAAAAAAAAAAATAATTTCAGACGGATTTGGAGCAAACGAAAGTTTTGCTTCGTAATCAAAGTCAGCAGTTTTTGTCTTTGGAACTGATGGCTACCAACATGTCCCTCCAGCAATGCCACAAAGATGGGACCACAACAAAGAATCAGTTAAGACTCCAGAATTTGGAGGTGCGATTAGTACAAACTAACATGAGGTTGGATTCTTGGTCAAGGCAAGCTGATATTTATCGCAGTACAGTGAAAACTACCATGTATAATTTTCAGGATGCTGTTTCCAATACATCTGGAAAGGTAGATGCTATGAAAGAGGAGTTACACGAATTTCAAACATACCTAAAAAGATTCATTCACAAACTTCCGAAAGGTTGGTTTTTTATAATAATTAGAATTTCAACTATTACAATATCCAAATATATCAATTTATTCCATCTTATTTTGATTTGACAATTGAAATTTTGTAACATTTAGAATCTTGAAGAATTTTGTATCAACTATTCATTTAAGAATGTAGAATTCAGGCCATTTGATAGAAACTTGCCCCATTTCGGCAAGAAATGGTTTTTGGTAGGGTAATTCAAAGAAATATTTTTTATGAATAATGTCACTCCTTATTAATTTTTGAGGAAGGAAAATTATAACAGAAGGTTGAATTTTTAAATAGAGATTACTTTTATAAATTTAAGTCCTTTAACAAAGATTGTAATGTAATTAATATATAAGTTATGCAAAGTAAGTATACTAGAATTATTGCTTAATCGAAAAATATTATTCTACATTATTTCCAATTTACTATCATTTGGGATTTACTAGATTATTAAGATTTTTTTTAAAAAACGAAAAATATCAATATAATACAGGGTGTTTATAAAGTCCCGGACCCATTTTGATGTTTAATAACTCATAATATAATAAAGATAGATTAAAATTAATAACATAAATGGTTAGATAGACTCAAAAAGTTTCATGATCCTTGTCAATGAACTTCCACGTGTGCCCCCTTCGTCGCACAGAGAATATCAAGTCGATAGTCAATTTCACGCCAGGAAGCGGCAAGCATGTCGGCATCCACAGAGGCTATTGCGGTTGTAATTCTGGCTTTTAGTTCATCAATGTTCGACACGATCCTCCTGTAAACATTGTCCTTTATAAATCCCCAAGGAAAAAAGTCCAGCGGAGTTATATCAGGTGATCTGGGTGGCCAAGGAATTGGACCTCCTCGCCCAATCCATCTTCCTGGAAAATGGTCATTCAAAGAACGACGAACGATGATACCCCAATGAGGTGGTGCACCATCTTGTTGCAAAAAGACATGTGGCTAAAGCTCTAATAGTTGTGGAAATACGAAGTTTTCCAATATGTCTAAGTATACGACTGATGAGACAGTCTTTTCTGTAAAAAAGAAAGGCCCAATGACTCGGTCGTGCATTAGTCCACACCACACATTAACCTTTGGGAAATCCCTTTGTGTCTCACGGTATTCACGGGGGTTTTCAGATCCCCATATGCACACATTATGGCGATTAACAATGCCAGAAACATGAAAGGATGCTTCGTCGGAGAACATTATGCGCGTCAGAAAATCAGCATCATCTTCTATCCTTCCTACCATATCTGTTGCAAACGCCATCGTCCTAGGTCTATCGTCCGGTTCCAAACCTTGAACAATTAGAACTTTGTATGTATGCAGTCTTAATTGTTTCTTAATAACCTTGTACACCGTCGAAATTGGCATATTCAATTCTCTTGCCGCTGATCTCACAGATCTTCTAGGATTGTCTAAAAATGTCTGCCTGACACGCTCAACGTCAAAATCATTTGTGCTCTCCGTGCGACGAATATTCTCCGTGCGACGAAGGGGGCATACGTGGAAGTTCATTGACAAGGGTCATGAAACTTTTTGAGTCTATCTAACCATTTATGTTATTAATTTTAATCTGTCTTTATTATTTTATGAGTTATTAAACATCAAAATGGGTCCGGAACTTTATAAACACCTTGTATATTGAATTTAATTTTTTATGCACTTTTTTTCCTTTTACCATTTAAAAGTACCGTTTAAAATTTTGATTTGTAAATATTATCAAAGATCTTGTATGATCTTAGACAACGATTCCCTTTATGATTCGATTGAGATTTATTAGAGATCACACACAGTTTTGCTTATTAATTTTTTAAAAATAACACTTGAAATTAAAGGTATATAGTTATAACAAATTTATTGCTAAAACAGTTTGTACCCAATATGGCCAGCTATACGAAAACTCAATTGAAGGAAATCAGAAATTGAAAAAATTGCACGGTTTTCTAAGTTGTGCTTACATTACAAGCGATACATTCTCGCCATATTTAAAAATTAGTTACAAGTTTCAACAATAGATGACACTACTGATTCAAAAACGATCAAACAAAAGTTTCCGCTACATGCCAAAGTATTGCAACTGTAACATCCACACAGGTTATACAAACAATACCAAAATTTCTGTTACAAATGGTAGCTATTTTGAAAACATTGCTTTGTTGTTTCATTCAGTTTGCAGTTCCATCTATTGACAAGCTGAAGTTTGGAACTAAAACAGAATGCATAAATTCGTACATTTCTATCTTGGTATGCTTTTCTTTTTATTGAGTTTTCAAATCATTGGCATTTCGTGAGATTTCAGTATATTGACGTACACTTGAAATCGTTTAACACTTAATATTTGAGAGCAAAATGTATATAGTTAAAAAACAATTGAATTATATTTACTAAATCTTTCAGATTGTTCAACAGTTAAACGAAGTGGCCTTATTTTGATTCAAGCTCACTCAGCGCCTGTGGAAGTTTATTGCAATATGAACGAAGGAGGTAGGTCCTGGCTCGTAATTCAGAGAAGAATGGATGGAAGTTTAAACTTCTTCAAAAACTGGACAGAATACAAACGGGGCTTTGGTCATCCAGCAGAAGAATTCTGGATCGGTAATGAAGTTCTCCATCATCTAACATCTCCTTCAGATGTGGTACTCCATATTGACATGTGGGATCTTTTTGGAAGATATTGGTATGCAGAATATGACAGATTTCACGTGAAATCTGAATCAGATTTGTATTCATTGGAACTAGGAGAGTATTCTGGGAACGCGACTGATTCCTTTAGCCACCACTCTGGAATGGGGTTCAGTACCCATGACAGGGATAATGATGCATCAAGTGCCCATTGCGCGGTACATCATACAGGGGGATGGTGGTACCAGCATTGTCACAGAGCTGATTTGAATGGGCGGTATCCTTTGGGAATGACGTGGTATGATGAACGTAGTCACGACTGGCTGCAATTGCAACGGGTTGAAATGAAAATTGCTCCATTTTCAGTTATAAAGAAATTAACTCGTGAATGATTTTCACATAATCACGAAGCTTAGTGAAAAATAAATTTGCTGCCAGCAAATCTTCACTTCAGATATTGTGAATTTGATTACGTTTATATTTTTTAAAGGTATTTCTAACTTACACGTCTTATTCCTTCTAAACTATGAATTTTTCAAAAAAAAAGTTTTGTTCACTGTTTAAAAAATTATTTTGGGCATTATAGTGACTAATAAGTGTAGACTTTAAGCTCAGATATTTTTGTATTATGATTAATTTATTAGTAATAGACTAAATCAGTTGTTATATTAGCGTGTAGCTAATTTTGGCACGTTGGAACAAATTCGATAAAACATTTCGAAAACTCTGCTACTCTTCAAAAAAACAATGAGTTTTTGTTTCAAAAACTAGTTGTATTATAAATTATATTATAAAGGAATGTAAATAGAAGGTTTTATATAGATAATTTTTAAAATGCAGAACTTAGTGATCCCAGACCAAATACATTTTTTTGTGTTATTTAGAAAGTAGCAAAATGCAAATCCCATTTCTGAGCTGAATTACATTTCATTGTGCGGCATATTAACGTAGCACTGTTAATATTTTTTTTATGTTATTTTGATGTCTTCATGGATACTGAAACAAAAAATCTATGTACTATTTTCTAAGATTTAAACCACAATCATAAACTCAAATGATAACCTTGGTTTTGAATAGGTATTCAAAGAGAAAAAAGGTTGTTGTTTTATAGCTAATAACTGGATGATCATCTGTACAGTGAATAAAATAAAACATAGGAACAGAAAATATTAATTAGTAATAGACAAGTAAAGTAATACATTTATGGTGTTGTTTTTGTGATAATCTTATTGATGTTTTTTCAAATGAAATGTATACCTGAGAGTTACATTCATAGATTGGCTGTTTGTTGTTGTAAGTTATTGATGTGCTGGAAAAATCGTCCTTTGTAAATGTCACACCTATTTCTTAGTTTTGTGTCATAATCAATTTAATCTAACTCTAGACAATGTACAGTCCGCAAAAAAAAAAAAGATATCACCCTGAATAACTTTCGTTCTAATGATCCGATTTTCACGAACTAAGTGTCAATCTTAATGGTTCCTGGGGGTGACCTCAAATATGCTAATTAATTAGTGCTAACTATTAATTAAGTTACGAAATCAGACACAAAAACGTACTTTCTCTGAATAAACATATA